AAGAGCAGACAGTGCTCTTAACCTCTGAGCACTCTTAAGTGAAGGGAATGATTTGACTATAATGAAAAAAGCTAGAATGTAAATTGTATTTGTGTCTCCTCTTTTCAAATAACAAAAGTTGATTTTGAATATCCCAGATCCCAAACAAACAAAACAAAACTGTCTCAAGTTCTACAATCATTTTGGGGATTTTTTTAATCCACGCCCTTCTTTTATTATGTAAAACGTCTACAATGAGAGAACTAGGTAGCCCATGTCGTGGGTTGTTTACCTCTACTTCTTCTGTTAGATATAGGCACCTCCAGGTTTACACACCCTAGTCCTGTGACCAGGCTGAAGCTGACTAATTTGCACATTGTTTCCCTTTTCAAAAATATGATTTTATTTGTTGGCCAAGGCATTTTTTGAGATTGGTAGAAGCTAGAATTCAAGTCTACACAAGAAAAGCGTGACGTGCCTACTTTACTAGGAATACTAGCTAATTCTTTCTTAGATTTATTCTTTAGAAATTATAGATAACTTTCTCTGATTATAACATCACCTAGCCCTAGCCCTACTGAGGTCTACTGTGTGATTTCTAAACATGACCTGGTGCTGTATAACTAGCTGAGATCTACTGTGTGCTTTCTAAGCTGAGGTCTACTATGTGTCTTCTAAGCATGATCTGGTGCTGTATAACTAGCTGAGGTCTACTGTGTGTCTTATAAACATGACCTGGTGTTGTATAACTAGCTGAGGTCTACTATGTGTCTTCTAAGCATGATCTGGTGCTGTATAACTAGCTGAGGTCTACTGTGTGTCTTCTAAACATGACCTGGTGCTGTATAACTAACCGAGGTCTACTGTGTGATTTCTAAACATGACCTGGTGTTGTATAACTAGCTGAGGTCTACTGTGTGATTTCTAAGCATGACCTGGTGCTGTATAACTAGCTGAGGTCTACTGTGTGTCTTCTGAACATGACCTGGTGTTGTATAACTAGCTGAGGTCTACTGTGTGTCTTCTGAACATGACCTGGTGCTGTATAACTAGCTGAGGTCTACTGTGTGATTTCTAAGCATGACCTGGTGCTGTATAACTAGCTGAGGTCTACTGTGTGATTTCTAAGCATGACCTGGTGCTGTATAACTAGCTGAGGTCTACTGTGTGTCTTCTAAACATGACCTGGTGTTGTATAACTAGCTGAGGTCTACTGTGTGTCTTCTGAACATGACCTGGTGTTGTATAACTAGCTGGCCCTTATGCCGGAGTTCATCTTCGTAGCTTAGTGTTCTCCTTAGTCTGAGTCCTGAGCAAGGCCATGTGATCCCCGCCCCCCCCCCACTAGAGTTTACTCTGAGTCTGGTGTACAGTGACATCTGTGAGACCTGGCTCTTGCACATTCACAACTTCATGGAAAAGAAGCATACTGTGGTCACAGGAACAGGACTCTGCAGCCGAGGTGCCCAGCTTTACCCCTAGCAAGACTGTTTGTTAGCTGTGTGACTTCAAGTAACGCGGGTCCATTTTGTTTCAGTTTTACAGTTTATAAAATGAGAAAGATGAGCATCCTGTCTCATAAAGCAACATCAAGGATTAAGTGGGCATCTATATTTACAAGCACACACGCGCGCGCTCGCGCGCACACACACACACGTACACACACAATTTCGTATAATATGCAATAGAGTCAAACACATGACATACTACGTAATATGAGAGACCATTTAAAATCACACCTGCTACACAGCAAGAGGCTTATATTATTAATGTTACTATTAGGCATAGCTTAATACATTGAGATTCAAAGACATTAATTAAATTAGAAAATAGCTCAATAAATGTGCCAGCTGTATTCGTTTACATATCTATTCCTAGAGATAAGCAGATATTTATTTTTAAAAATCCTGAATGTATTTATATTCTGCCTTTCTCAAACTACTAGTCTAGGGCTGTGAAGCTTCCAGGTGATTGGGCTGAGGCTATGGTTTACGGACTGATGGTGTGTCTCCTGGGCTGGTGTAAAGCTCTCTGGGTGGAGAGGCCGCCCGTGGGAGTTCTGGTGTGTCCTATCTCTCCTTCAAACCTCTTGCATCTAATTACAGGCACCTATGCAGTTTTCAGTACCTGGAATGACAATCTGAATTAGCCAAGATACCTCTGAGACCCAACTGCATTTTGCACAGACACTGATGGCTCCTGAAGGGAGAGAGGTCAAAGTGCTCATCACTCAGTGACCCTGCCCTCCCTAGCTCTACTCCCCACCCCGAGTTTACCTCCTTACTGATTTCATTCTTTGGCTCTGCAAAACATTCACAGACATCAAAGGCTGTCTGTCTATCTGTTCCTGAGCTTTTATTGACTTTCGTGGGTCACGGTGGGCCTGGTTCGATTGGCATATAAAGAACTTTAGCAGGACGAAAGCCTGTTGTTTCACAGTTATTAACCACCTCTGAGCTTCCTGTTCTTAGGTGCTGAGAGTTCTTGGGCTTGGCTCTTCGAAGTTCATCGAGATAAATAAAGAGCATCGTATCTGCAAGCTTCTATTTCGGTGATCTGCTTCTCTGTGCTTTCCCCCGTATGCAAGCAGACCTTCAAAGGGACTGACATCCCATCTCTCCCGGAAACAACTGTCTAACAAATTGCAAAACTTGGAAGGAGTCTAGGTCTGGGGGAGCCATTCAGGGTCTCCTCTAGATTCCCTGCTGTGTATTAAATCCCAATCAAGCGTGCTAGTTCCTTTATCAGTCACACCCACTCTAAAGTTGCATGTAGGCTTCAGGCTGGCCTGTACACTCCTTTCCCTTGTCCACCCGTGTAAGCCTGGATAGACTTTTACCACTTCAGTTCTTTCTACAAAACAGCACGGTAGGCCAAAATCGACTATCTGTCACTCACGGCTATGTGCTTGTGATGCACCAGGGATTTACCTTTAGAGCTCTAAAGCATTTCTTTATCTTGCCCCCTCTCCCTTCTTAGGAAGGACTTCTGAGGACCAGGGATGCTCAGTTTGTCATAAAGTAGAGGTGACATTTTACTGAAGCAGATACTCTTATAGGATTATATCTGAAGCTTGTTTCCCTATGAAGGGATTTTGTAACATAAACAGGATCAAACTCGCATGAATCTGGTTTTGAGAGGCAGGGTGTAGATCTACAAAATGGGCATCCAGATACCCCAGGACAAGTGAGTAATAAGGGTTTTGAACCTACTTAAAAGAGTGCAAAATCTCTGTCCCTTTTCCAATCCCTATCTAAAACCATTGGAAAACTAGCCAACCAACCAAAAAACCAACCATCCAGTCAGCCAGCCAACCAACCAACTAATCAACCAACCAACTAGCCATCTAGCCAACCAACCAATCAACCAACCAACCAACCAGTCAAACAACTAGAAATCAACCAGCTAATCAGTCAACCGACCAACCAATCAACCAGTCAACCAAGCAGCCAACCTGCCAGCCAAACAACCAGCCAACCAACCAACCAGTCAAACAACTAGACAATCAACCAGCTAATCAGTCAACCGACCAACCAATCAACCAGTCAACCAACCAGCCAACCTGCCAGCCAAACAACCAGCCAACCAACCAACCAACCAACCATCCATCCATTCAACCAATCAACAAATAGACCAACCAGTCAATCAGCTAACCAACCAATCAGCCAACCTGCCATCCAAACAACCAGCCAACCAACCAACCAGTCAGCCAGCCAACCAACCAACCAGAAACCCAGTCTTCCTAGCTCAGGAACTTATTTGCTGCTCTTTGTGGTACTGCTTTGGAAGGCAGGCTGGTGTTCCTTGGTGGCCAGGCTTGCACTGTGAAGAGCAGAGAGGTGGCGACACGTCTTCTTTACCTGTCCCTGCTGTCCACTGGCCCGGCCCCCTCCCTTTTACCTCAGTCTTCCGCTTTATCAGAAGACACAGGGTACTCATGCCCTTCAGTGTAGTCTCTCTTCCCCTGGGATCATTATTCACTGGAGCTGACCCTAACCCTTCTAGATTGCAGGATGCAGCTTGGAAACAGCCATCTATACCCTGGCAAGGTCTCCTCCAAAGTTTAACTTACCATTTTTCCTGTTTGCCTGGCCTTTCCCCCAGTGCCCCAAATTACTCCCCCCCACCCTTTCTCAGTACAGTTGAGTTTATTTAAAAGAAAACAAAGCATGGAATGAGACAAAAACCCAAAATTATCCTATGAAGAGCGGGCCTCTGTGTCAGGTGCTGTTCTAGGTGAGCCTGGAGGATATGCTGCCATCTCACCTGTACCTTGTGGCCAGAAAACGCGTGCAAACTGGCTGGGCAGCATCGGGGACATGGTCAGCTTGTGACCACAGAGTAGGAAATACGTTCATTGGCTCTCCCCATTGAGAATTGACCCATTGTCCTAGTGGCACATGCATTAAGCCAACACAGTAAACTCTCGTATTCAGTTAGAACCCGCCATGGTGAGCCCCGTGGTGGCCATGCTGGTTTCCTAGGGTGGCATGGCTCTTACACCAGATCTGAACAGATCTTCCAGTGGATACTGAGTCAGCACCTGTGACCCAGGTCAGTCAGTGTTCATAAGAATTATTCAGACCCCCCAATTTGACACTTAGAATACGGGAGGAGAATTTTCATTTTTTTTTCTTCCACTATGGAATGAACCAAATCAAAGTGGAGCTGTTTTGGGAGCACCCATAGGTGTGGTTCTAAACATTTCTTATGTGGCAACTCACAAACCACTGGATAAGAAACGCTGTACTCAAAGAAATTTAAGCCTGTCAGGTTAATTACACAATATTAGGTACGAAAACAAACAGTGCAACACAAAACATAGCTACATCATTATTTGCAGTAAATGTTAACTCTAAATAAGTGCAACCTGTCCACAAATGCTTGCTATAAACTAATTAAAAAAATAAAATTTGATGGATAAACATGAAAAAAAAATTCTCACCGAGAATTTTTTTTTTAAATATCAGCACTCATTTAGAGTTCGGGATTTGTGAAAGAAAGCTTTAAAAGGAGCAAACCTGATTGGCTGTGGCTGTTGCTGCGAAGGGGACACTTGTTGCAGGAGTTGTTGCTGCAGAGACAGTGGCGGACGTAGCGCTGTGCATCATGGGTACTTTCAGGAGGGGAACCATGGGAGCAATGAACAGGAGGGTGTAGCATTATGGTAATAGAAGTGGTATTTGGCATGGTGAATATCAGAGCAGCAAGCCATCATGGGTTAAACCAGCAGATGGCATGCAATCACAATGCAAAGCAAGGAAGCATGGGAGAGAAATAAAAAAGGGAAAATAGCTTATTACAAGTACAATTAAAGGAAGTCTTCAAACATAATCAGTGATTCCCAGAAAGGCCAAAGCACACTGCTTTGGCTGATGTATTTATAAACATTTTGTTCCCAATGACAGAGTCATTCCCAATTCAGAGTGTGTCATGGCTGTAACAACAGTTGCTTCTCAAAATATGAGAATAGGTAATATCCAATGAAATGAGAATGTATGATAACCGAAACAGACTAGTCATAAATTCTAAGACATTGAAGGCTCAATAGGCCTAATTTAAGTATCAGGTGAATGTTGGAACTAATTGTGGTTAAACAATTTATTTTTTTCAATTTGGAATATCTGTGAACTGGAATTTCAGTTGATAGTCTTTTCTTTTGGTAAATAAACAATGAAGCAAAAGAAAGGGCCTTGCTATAAATTCTAGAGCAGTTACTATGAAGTAACCACATCCATTTTGCCAATGTTTACTTTCTAGACTCCTACATGAAACTGACTGGATGCCCTGAAGACAGATTTTTGTGCCAAGGCCCTGAATGTGAGAGGAGACTCCACTGTTGAAATTCCCCATCTAAGGGAATGTGGAGGTACACAATGTGTGTGTGTATGTGTGTGTGTGTGTGTGTGTGTGTGTGACAAATAAGTCAACACTCTAACTAAGCAAGAAAGTTCAGATACTTGATTTCAAAATACATCCATGTATAATTTTTTTTCCAAAAATAAATACTTCTGGGAAACTCTGATAACTCTAACACACAGCAAGGAGGAGATAAAGGCACACCACTATGAAACTTTAAAACATTGATGAAATTAGCCTGCCTCTGTTTGCCTTATGCTAAACCAGATAAACTATAAAGAAAAACAGAACACAAATCATTTTTAAAAAGCACACTTGTACTTGTGTTTCATGTCTCTGTAGTGATCGTTCTAGCAATAAGAGGTCACATTAAAAAAAGAAACCCATCATTTTCTTAAACACACAAGCATAGCTTACACGTTAACTCTAAAGGCCGTTTAACCTTCCGATCCTACTTCCTAAGCATGTCTACCATCTCTGCAATCAATGTCAAACAGTGAAGGCATTGTACATCATATAAAAGACAAATAAAAAAAGGTTGAAACCTACCAATACTGGTAGCGGGTGTCATGCACAAAACTGACCCTGAAGTCATGCAATGGGGGGGTGGGGTGGAAAAAGTGAATAAAGGGAAAGAAACAGGTTAGCGGTTTAGAGTTAACATTCAAAGTGAGATCGATAAGTAGGGTTAGTTTACACAGTTTTCAGGGCCATTCACATCATCAGTGTAGACACAGACATAGCCAGCTCACTTTAAGCCAATATGATCCCAAGCCCACTCTCTGGTCACTCTCCCCTTTCTGTTTGTCTAGGTCAACGTGATTCTGGCAAGGATGACACAGCGTCCTTCCCTTCGTTGAAGACCTCAGAGTCTTTCCCAGGCATTATCAAGGCAGTTAACCCTCTAAGGTGGAGAGTGGGTATTTTACAGATGAAAAATCTGAGGCACAGTAACTCCTCCAAGGTTGTGTGTGGTGTGAATTCAGGCCAGGATGTGATCCTCGTCAGAGTGCATCTCTTTGCAAGTCTGTTTGGTGAGCAAATGTGCAGTGTCGGTTGCATCGTGAAAATAAGAAAGGTGAATTTAAGATTTCACAGCCTCTAAACCAGACAGCCCTGCCAGGCAGCGCAGGGGGGATCTTAAGCTGGTAATGAATATGGAAGTTCCTGGGCAGAATCACCTAATGGGTCTGGAGTCTCTTCTGGCTATGGGGTTCACCTTGACAAGGAGGTGGCACCTGTCAGGGAGGTCTAAGTATCACACATATGGGAACTATGCTAGGACCCACCAAGGTGAGAGATTGGATCATGGCCATTTCAAGGTAGCTCCCGAGGGGTCAAAGAGTCTAGGGCATCTCAGATTGGTGTCTAGATTAGGGAAGAAGGAAGGACGATGTTTGTGCTTCCTTGGGAAGAACTGTGTTCTCTATAGGTGGTCTTGTACAGGCACCAACAGATTCCCACCACGGACAGAGACAGCAGTCAGGAGGGTGGCAAAGATGTGTTGGGAGCTCCTAGGGATTATCTGCCACCGGCTCTGTCTCTCAGAGTATAAACTAAGGCAATATAAGGAATCCTGGAAATTCAGGGCCATGTGAGTCGGGGTCCTAGTGGTATTTTCAGTGAACGTAGGTGCGTCTGCTGAAGCTGTCGGAACTGCTGAGATGTTAGATGCGGACTCTGGAAACTCCGTGTCTTTTTTCACTTTGATAAGGACTCCAGGCCTGACCTACATTTTGACCAGGCTAACATTTCTGAGTTAGGAAAAGGCTTTTCAAGTGGGCTACCGCTGGCTTCTTTAATGGAGATGGGCCAGGACGCCCAACTTCACACGTGCGCCCAGACACCCGGGTGTGCTCCCACGCTTCAAATCCCTTGCCGCTGATGCAGTCTCTTCCTCCATCGCTATCTATCCTTCTACTCCCCCCAAATGTCTAGTAAGTTCCCTCCACCCACAGTCCCATCTCCTCATTAGCAATTGTCCTTCAATCTTCTCCAATTTGGGTCATTTTCATCCTTTTGCCTGGATTGGCTGAACACTGTTATTCCTTCATTTACAATCTCAGGGCCATTTTGTACTTGTCTAAACCTTGTATACAAGGTGACTGTCTTCCTTTGAATTCTTACACGGACACACACACACACGCACACACACACACACACACACACTTTCTAAAAGCTTATGCTGAATTCTCTCTCTATATGCTGGAGTTCTTAGACACTATCCTGGGTCCTCTTTATTTATTTGTTTGTTTGTTTGTTTATGTGTTTTCTGATCTCTCAGTCTTCCAGGTGTCCTTCAACCTATGCATTTCAAAGTTATCAATGAACCTACGGCTTCCACACTGCCCGAGTCTCTTTACCCTGCTCTTCTCCTGGCCTCTCCACCCGGGTCTTGCAAGGGCCCTCCAGTGTAGCCTGCCCAGCTGTGCTCTTCCTCACCCTGCCTTCTCCAGGCCTGGAAGCACCCAGTGGATATCATCGCCCACGCAGCGATTCAGCATCAACTGCTAAGAGACGCCGCTTCCCCTTGTGACGTTCCGGGGTCCTGCTCCCCAGGGAGCCAGCATAAGGCTGTATTCTGCCTCGCTGGGCGGGCACCTGTCTGCCCATCTGTCCTCGAGTCTGTGACTCTGAAAGTCCCATGCCGTTAGTGCAACGGCATCTTGTCTGGCTTCCCTGCTCCCGGCTCCCCTCTGCTGCAGTCATCCCACTTCTGGGAAGGACTTGCTGGGTTCTGATGCTTCGAGGAAGAGGCCCTGCTCTCCCAGGCCATGACTGCCTCCCCACTGCACGATCATTTCCTGGCCCCCGGGTGCGTCTCGATAGTCCTTCACTGACTTCAACTGAACACACCATGCTTTAAATCTCTTTCGCCGCTTCCCACAGCTGTCCCCATCCCCCTGTCTGAAAATCTCTCTAGCCACTTCTTTCATCGCTCACATGTCCAAGTACGTGTCATTTCTCCAGAAAAGCATTTCACCCCTAATTTTCCCACCTCCCCCTGCCACTGAAGTCACTTTCTATTTTAATTTCTATTTAATTATTTGAACTCTTTGCTTTCTTCGTGTGTAATACTCTAAGTTTTGCCAACCTGTTTAAATGAATGTTTGGCATCTTTCTCTCTCATTCTGCTGTGAACTCAGAAGGGCAGAGAGCCTGTTTGACAAGGTGTCTAGGGTGTCTCGGGGGAACCTCCGTGTGGCATCAACGTTCCAGCCAGAGGTAAGAAGTGTTTGGGGGAGAAATTTGTTCCCAAAAGCTACTCAGGGGACTCGTTTATATAAAATATCCCACTTGAAAGTCAACCATGTCAGGTTTCCCAGTTACTTCTGTAAAAACCCCCCCTTTATTCTGTATCCTACAGTGAGTGGGCTTTCTTCGAGGCCTCCTGGGTCGCTTGTGACTATACAAAGGGCGTGAACCACCCAAGCGGCTTGTACACCACACAGGACCTGCACAGCGCCATTCTGGCTTGTGTCCTGGATGTGGGGAGTGCTTGACCATGCCACTACACCGGTCCCCGTCTCTGCCTCCCAAGAGGGATTTGAACATGGGAGGAATGAGGCTTCTGCCATGTGGACAGCTCTCTTTACGGCAGATTCTGGCACTTGCTTTGTAAGCTGTGGTCCTGCCTCTCACCCGCGCCCTACCCTCTGGGTCTTCACACGGATCCCGTGAGCACCTTGTACTATTACCACAGGCAGCGATAATCTCCTCTTCTACCCTGCTCTTCCCGTACCTGCCCAGTGGTAAAAATCTTACTCCTCTTTCAAAGTCCTTAGCAAGTTTCTCCTGCTTGGGAGAAAGCCTCCTCCCCTGCACTGCTTACGCCTCGGTCTGCTGAGGATGAACCCCTCGCCTCTCTCTCTCCTTCACCCTCAAGCCCATGCTTAAACCCCATCATACTCTGGACTCTGGTTTCTACCCAGCTCTGGGTCCCTTTGGCATTCTTGGTGGGGGACTACAATTCTGACTGGAGCGTGTGTCCGAGGGTTGCTTACTGAACTGAATGGAGCACACACGTTCTGACTTTGGGTAGACCGTGTGGCTTCTCATGAGTGGGCGATGTCTGGCCTAGAGCCTTCCGGATGCACTTCCAGTGCAATGGAGTGTTTCAAGGAGGATCAGCCCCCTGCCCCCCACGCCCCACCCCGCTCCTTGGCACCAGCAGGGCGGCTCACCAGGGTGCTGGTGCTATGGATAAAGCTTTCTCCGACCTTTGTTTCCTCTGTTGCACAGATACTTCAAGTATCTGAGTGCTCTCTCAGTTTTACATGCCACCCTGTACTGTAAATGCAGCCTCAGTTTTTCCATCGGCAAAATGCAGGTAACCACTGTTCACCACTGGCAGAATGGTGACAACTTGAAGAACAATGACAACGTCTACAGGAACACTTCGCAGCAACTCAGAATAAGCTTGTCACAGACGTGTCCAAAGCTGTTTATTACACGGCTGTTTCTACAGCCATGCACGATGCTGCCACTTTCCCTACCATAACAAAGTGTGTGACTTGTTTAAGATAACCCCTGTCAGAAAAAAAAGAAGCAAAGAAGAAAAATCCCACCCACTACAATGTGCCAGGGCACCGGCCAAGGTGGTAATTATCTTACTATGGTTGTGGGGAGGAGGCCCACACCCTGTGTGACATTTCGCATTAAGATATTTGCAGCCTGGAGGCACATCTCCTAAGGATTTTAGTACATATCAAAGCTTTACTATGGATGGCCTTTCAATGCAGGGTAATATCCAAGAGGACACACATACACGAAAAAAATGCCCTTGATTCATTTCTATGATAACTGCTTATGTAAAACATCAAAAGAAATATTTTTTTAAATATTGGTTAAAAATAACAGTTAACCATCTGCTAAAAATTACCATATAATACCATCCCCTAACCAGCAGAGGTTTAAAAACAACCAGAACAAACCTCAAGCAGTTATTACCATTGCCATAAAGTTGAAAGCATGGTTTATAAGAAATGAATCCTAAAACAAACAAACAAAAAAAAAAAAAAAGAAAAAAGCCCACTATAACCATGGAGATTTTTGCTACAGATTCAATTGGGAGAGACCTTATGCTAATTTTATTTTAATAAAATTGTTTTCTCTCCCAGAGAAAGCGTGGTGATTTTCTTGGGAGTTCAGATTCCACTCCAGTACACAAAATTCACATGATTACCCACTGACATCTTCAAACACTTGCAATTCCCATAAGTAAGTGGGCTACAGCCCATCCCTTGGCTCCCAAAGGCTACAGGTCGCCAACACAGTTGAACTGTTCCTACGTAATCCACCAGAGGGCGGGCATACACAACCACAGCTCACAGGGACTATCTATCCTTGACAGGTTTCATCAGCAGGAATCAGGTTATGGCTTAGGCTATGCTATTCAGCCTTGCTTGGGAAATACTTGATGTGGGGAAGCTTTTGATGACTTAGCCAACCGGTCATCACTGGATTCGAGTATTCCATATGCCTTGGAGGGCTGCTGAGACCTTGGTAAGGCTCAGCTCAGGGTATCCCTGGTGCTCTCAGGAGATGTTGTTGTCTCTAAGACCCCATTCTTCAGAAACAGACTTGCCTTTTATATTTTCCTATTCAGTAACTTTTCTCTCTCTCTCTTAAAATATATAGTGGTCACAAGGTCTACAATGGGACCCTTGTAGTAACAGACAGGACCCTCGGGGTGAGCTAACCTTCTGGTAATTATGTTATGTCAGGCAGGTTACCATCACAAATATGGCCAAGCTAGAACAGCATGGAATGCCGTTAATTAATTAATTAACGCTGCGATAGGGTGAAAAATGAAGGCATTTTAAGATAGACTCAGAACTCAGGTCCTTTCTGACATAGTGCATCTATATTAATGTAAATATAGTCTATAGGCTACTGTTCATTTGTAGTGTTTATACAAAGGCTACTGCCGAAATAAAATCTAGCTACCTCCAACCCTAACTTATCATATGCTATGGAATCTAAGGAGATTAATATATCCAGTCATACAGATTGCTGACGTCTACTTGTTTTTGTGGGAGGACAAATTTTCACTTGGAAAAACCCAATGGATGCCCAACCCAACAAGGTTTAAGTCACCTGTTTCCACCAGAGACTAAAAGGTAAACCACTGGTTAAGTGGAGAGATGACCGTGTCTGTGGGGGTGTGTGGGGTTATGCATGCGCTGTGTCTGAACCACTGAACTTGGTAAAATATGGGGGAGGGGAGTCAGAGTTTTTCTTCCCCTGGATTGACATTTTTTTTCCATGGAAAAAATTCCACTTCAATCCGATTTTGGGGAATAAGTCTATCTGCTCCATGTGGGCGCCAGTGGGGTGGTGTGATGTTATGTAAGTTGAACCAGGCATCAGAACAACAGGCTTGGCATATGTGTCAGCTGTGCCACCTTGGAAAGTCACTTGTCATTACTACGGGGGCCTCAGTTTTCTCATTTGTAAAACAGTCAACTGGATGAGGGATTCATGAAGACCTTTCATCTGCGAGACCCTGTGGTTGCCAGGTGGTTTCCAGTGAGTGGTGGGCTAAGGGATGCTAGCCCCTCCCCTCATTACTCATTGGCTCAGAAATGGAAGACAAGCACTCCAAATACTTGTGAACTTGTGAGAGTTGAGAAGGATGGAGAGAGAGAGAGAATGGATATAAAAATATGAGTAGAGGATTACTTTCATTTGAATAGCCTTAGACTTTTTAGTGCTCTGAATAGAAGCAGGGGGGTAAAAATAAGGTTAGTATTTATTGGAATTTATATTTTTAGGTCATAGAGGGTTAAGGACAAATTTCAATTATATAGTTTAAAAAAAATCTTACACAAGCTATTTTACAGGCCTTGGGCAAATAGAGGAAACACAAAAGCTATGTCTGCCCCCTGTGTCTCGGGTTAGACACCCTCCCCTTCCCCCCATCAAACATTGGACTCTACAATCCTGAATGCCTTTAGCTATCAAAGCAAGTCGGTGGGTCTAATTAGCCAGGGCTGCGGTGTGTGGGGGGTGGTGAGGCTGTGTTGACTTGCACCCTCTAAATGCAAACTAGATGCCACCAAACAGCTTAAGGACATGAGAAAAGAGCACATGACCAGAAGGACACAGGACAGACACGGGCGTGGACGGCAAGGGCGACGTACCTGTGGGGATGAAGGCCGCGTGTTGCTGCTGCAGCTGCGCACTGGTGAGGGCCTGCTGGTAGTGAAAGACACTGGGGCTGAAGGCTGTGCTGGCGCCGCCGTTGCTCTTTTCAAGGGCTTGCCTCTTTGGTAAAGGGTGAAGAGCACCAGGGGGGAAACCCTGCAGAGGAAGAATTTGAGAGGCTGTGTCCAGCTTCAAGCAAACACCGCGCGTCCGCAGAGGTCATCAATTGCAACAATCTTTACTTTTCTTTATCTTTTTCTTTCTTTCTTTCAAAAAAAAAAATGACAGCTAAGGAGATGCCTCTGCCATGCGCCTTAATTGAAACAGCGGCAATGTCGTCGAATGAGTGAGAATTTGTTACTGCTGAGCGGAAGCATGAACTCTGTAACCCAGGAAACAGTAGCATCTCAACTAAGGAAAAGAAACACTATCAAGCAACAACAATGGGAAAAAAAATATGGCTTCAGCTTTTAAAAACAGGTTAAACTACTCTAAGGGGGGAGGGAGACGGGAGCGCTTGCGTTATTATTAATATCTAGTCTTTCGCTGAATGGCAATTTCTAGGACTTAAAGGTGAATAAGAATCACAGCGAGCAATTTTTGTTTTTCTGAGCCCCAGTAATTTTAAATTTGCTTCACTCTTTTGGACAAGGTATTAAATTTTGTTAGGATTGATTTTTTTTGTCTCCCAGATTATATAGGCAAATGAGATGACTAAACACCTTATTGGATTTCCTCCATTTTTAAAATTAATAATAATGATTGGCTGCAACCAGTATTTTACATACAAATCTCAGCTGGTTCTCTGAAAAGCTACATGCAAAGCGAAAGGTGAAAGGTCAAAGTACCAGGTCTACAGTTGCTTCGAGAGGTCGCTTCAGTGCTTTGGCAGTCGACTGAGTCTTTTAATAACAGGCAGCGAGCACATGATGGCAGTGGGCCAATGGGATTCAAGCGAATTAACATACAGGTAAACAGCAAGCAGAGGTGCATCATGGGAACGGCATTGCATTGTGGATAGGTGAGAAGGAAAAAAATATTCTGAATGCAATATACAACGTACAGAACACTAGGCATGCACAACAACAAAAATGTTCTCTAGAGAAATGAATATTACACCTTAAATTAGTATTGAAGCAAAAAAAAATGCATCTACTATACCTTAGTTAAAAGCGTATAAGAGAGTAAAATATAGATGTTTGAAATTCAGGAAAGTATATTAAAACAGCAGCTTGCATACACACCATAAGCATTCTTTTTTTTTTAATATTGCTTGGGGTGGGGGTGGGGGGCTGGAAATGCAAAACTCCTAAGGACCACAGGGCGAAAGAACATCTGATAAGTTAGTTCAGGTATGAAATAATCGAGAAATAAAGTATATATCCCCAACCGGGGGGATGAAAATCTCCATTCAGGTGTGTTCTAATTCAGATCTAATCTAACAAAATGAAGTGTCAAACTGAGACAAAAAAAAAATTCAGGCAAAAAATATTCAAACGCAAGATTATTTAGGCAAAACAGTTTGGGTTTGGGTCGTTATTTTTTGGCTGAATCACGCGGGTAATTGTCTCAGTTCTTTTCTCCACTCTGCTAGTGTGGGGTCTCGTCATATCGTGTGGATTAATGTCCCAAACCTACAGTGCTTCGAATTTAGATAGGGAAGTCCCAATATTTCCCACTTTCACTCTACTAACTTATCATCCGTTCTGCTTCTACTGCATTTGAAATTATAATTCATTTCAAACAACTTACCAGGTTAGTACTAAGGAAATACCCTTTTAAAAGGTATTTTGCGCCCTTGGGCATGAAGGTAACTTCTCTTTCTTTAGTCACGCTATCTTGTACTTTTAGCTACAGTCTGTGGTCAAACTGGCTAATGACAAGTGGGACCTTCACTAGAACGGGCAGCTGGGAGAGCAGAAAACTGCCTTTGGGAGAGGGGCGAGCCTTCGACTTAGAACCACGCTTCGGGGAAGACAGCTTCATTTAAACAACCAAGGTGCTATCGAGTCTGGGCTGGTTAAGACCACAATGAAAATAAGTTCCTCTTTCCAGTTAACTGTTAATGAGTAGGAAAATTCTATGGCAGAATTCTGTGACAATAAAGAAATCCAGGAGGCAGCTTCAATGCAAATAGGAACAATGGATATCCCCCCCTTATGGTTGGCACAATAGGTAAATCCCCAAGGTATGTCTGATAGAATTCACAATCTGAAGTTCTTTGGCAAGTGCAGGGTTGCTCCTCATGTGATGATTCAGGGTAAAAAAAAAATGTGAGGGGAGACAGCTTAGGAGCTATGGGACTTGGAGGAAGAGACTAGAAGCATCGTGGGAAGAACTGTGGGCAGGGAATGCTCTGGGAGGCAGTTTGGATGAAGGCCAGCCAATAATAGGAAACTGATGTCTTCTCAAAGTAAGGCTGAAATACTGAAAATAAAAACAGCTCAAGCCCTTAGACACTCCTCTTTGTATTGCTTTTGAGACAAGGTCTTCCTTTGTAGCCCGGACTGGCCTTGAACTTACAGCAATTCTCCTGCGTCAGTCTCCAGAACCCAGGGGTTAAAAGCACAGGCCACAGCACTTAGCGACTCCTGGATATTGTTAAATGTAAGTACCGTACTATGAAACTTCCATGATTCCATTTTGGCTAGAATCCTTCACTCCCGTACAGTTTCACATTGTTAACTAATGCTGGGTCTGTTTGTTTGTTTTTTATTCCCCATGTGCACCTGTGTATGTATGCAAGATGAAACGTGTGTGGAAACAGTTCTCCTTACAGCATGTGGGGCCCAGGGACTGAACCCAGGTCATCAGGCTTGCTGGTAAATGACTCTACCCACTGGGCCTTCCTTGTTGGCCCTGAGAGCTTGGCTCGCTAAAGAGGGCTACATGGCTGTTCACCGGGACCACACCGGGTTGCTCACTGACTGGCCGAGACCAAAGTCCTCTGTCCTCATTTGACAGTCTTACCTTCCTCCAGCCCTTGAAGCTCCTAGCGGGCGGGACTTCTGATGAGCCTATGAGTCTCTACGGGCTGGCGCTCAGGGACTCACGTCTGACTTGACAGAGCACTCTTTAGTGAGTTCGCCAAGCAGACTAAGTCAACGTCGACTATTTCTTTTTAGGACAGGCATATGGAAGTTTAACGGTCTTTTGCTTTCTTTCCCCCCCCTCCTTTATTTTATTTTCTTAGCTGAAAACCTAACTTGTAGAGGTGAGAGTAACTTAGGCGTTAGAGAAGCTGAGAACTGCAAAGTAAGGATAGTGGCAGCATTTCCCCTCTTCCTGTTCCTAAGATGAGGTCTTGAAGAATGAAGGTTTCCACATGTACAGTAAGGCTTTATGTAGACTGTGCTATGAAGCCTGCATGTAGAGTGTATTTTTCAAACCTGTGTGGATGAATAACCATCTCGTCACAGGCTTCGTGGTGCACACGTCACGTGCTGGTCCAGGTGAGACTGACCGCTGGCATGTTTACCTGCACGGAACGGTCAGTCAACCTTCAGGCTTAGACCTGACCTTAGGGACGGCGGTGCCCCAGTGTGTGCTAGGTACGTTTGGTACCAGGGCGAGAAGGGCCAATTTAACTCTAGCTCTACTTCATGCCAGATACTTGGGCTCTACTCCTGCTGGCCTTGGCTGTATTTCTGGTCCCCCGGCCTTAGGCTTGCTTCCAGCTGGTCTGAATGGATGGACACACTCGGCAAAGACTTTATGTGAAGCTGAGATTCTTTTTCAGAGTCAAGGAACCATCCATCCCACTTCAGGTCAAGGTGAGAAGAACCACCACCCAGGCCAGCATTACAGGCCAGGACCACACCCAGGGGGCCAGGAGAGCCTGCGGGAATGATCGTGATCAAATGCTGCCTTACCCAAGCCACAGAAGGAAGCTCACGGGCGTGGGGCTCAGAGTTCCTGCGAATGTTTCCTAGGACAATTGGAACTTATCTGGCCGACAGCAGCCTGTCCTGTTTCCTTTTACAAACTAGTTCTTTCCATTGTCACCCTGTTGTTGGTTTATGTGAACAAAGACTGTACATGAAGATCAAACAGCCTTTGTGATAAAATTACCAAAGCGTATCTCCGACTGGCTCATTCTCACATTTGGAAATCTCTGGTGAGACTGATGCTTATGTTTTAAGAGGTATTATGAAAGAATGAGGTTTGAATGGAGATAAACGATGCTTCTTTTCGACAGTCGGAGGCTTAAATTCTTTCTTAATGTCTGATTATTTCAAAGAAGGACGAGGGGGGAAATCCCTGGACAAGAATAAGAAATTACACTATGGAAATGTGCTGCTTTCAGCCACGGAAGTCAGGTGAATGGAATGTTGACTTCTTCTACAGCAATGAGCACTCCCATTTGGTCTTCTAAATAAGGAAATACAGTAATAGTTTTTCTGCGGCTGTAAGGCTCATCAAACTGTACCTGGGCTGGTTTCAAATGAGCCTCTCACGCCAGCCGGAAACACATGACAGATTCAGTAATCTTCCTGCCATTGTCAGAAACGCGCTGGATTTGTTCTGGGTTGCCTCAGAAGAGGCTTTGAGATCCTGTGACTTCTCAGTGCTCCAAATTTTGGGCACAGCGTAACAACCCAAGAAACTATGGTAACTGGTTCTCACAGCATCTACAGCATTGATGTTCGTTCCTGCGTCCCTATGAGATTCCCTGAGAAATGAGGAGGAGGGTGTGGGGCGGGGCGGGGCGGGGCTCAGCCCTGGCTGCTGACTGTTAGGCTGAGGGGATGACCTGCTTGGCTAAGTGGGCACATCTGCTCATATCCCTGCCACCCAGGGGCACCTGCCTCGGACACAGATTAGGTCCCCTGCCCCTTCACTGGCTGGGTAGGTACTGATTGTGTACTGGAACTCCTACTTCCAGGACACAGGCAGATATAGCCAGAGCTTGGATAAAATCAGGGCGGAGCCTGGCAGTCACCGTGGCTATTGTTTTTTTTTTTTCAGTCTTCACAGGTATTTGAATTAGAGGGACAAACATTTCCATAGTAATCTCCACAGCTTGTCATGTCTTATGCTGAGAGGCGGCCACTGCGACCCAGGGTAATCAGCTCCTATCCCTCTGACCATAGAGAGAGCCACAAAGATGACAAGGCAGTAAGGGCTTCTCCCCTTAATCAGCGCCTGCGTCAAGAATGCTGTCTTCTTGGTCGTCAGATGTAAGGATGCCGTCCCTAAAGATGCCTCAAGCCATGGGCTTGTGTCACGGGGAAGAAGCTGACCTCGGGAAGTAGAACTGACTTGCTAAGGGAGGCTGAAGTTGAGGAGGAGACAGAGCTGCTCTCAACGCCAACACCCCCAAGCCCCATTTTCTTCTCTTTCCCTCGGAGGTATTACATGACGCAGGAAAGTCATCAGTCAGTAAACTTGGTCACTTACACCAAGTCATTTTGAGTACTGTCTCTATACCAGAGTCCCAGTTAGCCCAGGGAGAGTGCCCTAAGGACCCAGTGTGGCTTAAAAAGTGAACGGATGACCTGGAGAAACACGACTTTGCTGGTCACGAGTCAACACCAGGAGTGCTAAGTAGTACTAAGTTGGAGCTGGTCTGAAAAAGTGGCTTCCTAGACCAAGACACTCACTAAGCAGATGGAAACAGAGTCCTCTCACTGACAGACGTGCAAAGGACACGATCTAAGAATAATTCACTTTCCACACACACTGGATTATTTGTACTTTTTAAAAAGAAATCTTTCCATCGCTCCTCCTTGTCCCCAAGTATAATGACTCTTCCAGTTCCAGATTTCAGGAAAGCCGCCAGTGGGAGCGTTTCTCCCTCATGTGGATACGCTAGGCCTCACGTGTCCACGGACTTAGACCCTCAGTGTACTGTCTGAAGACACGGGAGAGAGAACACGGGACACTACAAAGTCTGAGGTAGGTAGACGGGAGGCTTACTGTGAAAGATGCTTGGAGCTCGGCCGGTAAAGACCTGTGCTCTCAAAGGATTGTAGCGGGCAAGGTCTGTGCCTCTTCCCGCTGAGACCCTACCCCTCACAAAGACTCCCTCCCTCACACCAAGAATGCTGACTCGAGGACAAGTGGCATCCCCTCTTACGTCTTGGATGCTCATCACTGTGATCTGCTAGTCTAGAAAGCGCTCTTTTAAAGATTTGTTTTCCTTTCGTACATAAGGGCGTTTGAGCTGCATGGATGTCTGGGCGCCACTTGTACACAGTGTCCATGGAGACCAAAAGAGGGTGTGGGGTGCGCTGGAATGGGAGACACACAGGATTGTGAACCATGCGGGTGCTTGGGTTTGAACCCGGGTCCTCTGGAAGAGCAGTCGGTGCTCTTAACCACTGAGCCGCCTCTCCCGAACCTAGACCCTGCTTTTTAGGTGATCCCTTTCACCTCTGGAGTTCTGTCTATCCTTTTCCAGGAAGGACTGGCCTCTGTGTCCTTCCTACCTCTGTGATCCCACCATGCTTTCCCATCCTGTGGTTGAGAGGCACTATTGCTCACACTTAGACCTGCCAAGCTCCTTGAGGGCGAAGCGACTAGCCTCCTTCATCTACGCTCCCCTGGGGAGGCACTGCATGGCTGGGCTGGCCGGCTTCTCAGGGCCTTCCGTGAATGGGTGCACCGTGCCTTGAAACTGACTTCTGATGAAGCCACATGCCCCACTTAAAAAAAAATCACTGGAACTGGCCCCCACCTAGCCCCAGGCTTCTCGGCTGTGTATGTGCACTGGGGTTGGATCACCTGGGAGCTCTGCAGGGCAAGACCCTGGTCCCTGTCCCTGGTCCCTGGTTCATGGCACTCCAACCAGCTGCTTTGGGGTTAAGATCAATGTCAGATCCTTTCGGAACCGTCCGGCGGATTTCTCAGTACAGCCAAGATTGGGGAGCGGCCTCGGCATGCGACTCTTGAGCATCAACGCTGTACAAAACACCGGGGGATTTTTCAATATTACCATATGTGTGTGTCTGTGTTTGAGGATGCACGCTTGCCAGAGGAGCCGGAGCCCCCAGAGCTGGAGTTACAGGCTGCTGTGAGCTGCCCGGGGTTAAGTCAAACTCCAGTCCTCCCCAGGGGCAGGGCATGCGCTCCACCAATGAGCTGTCTCTCTTGGTCCTAACTGGGAATTTATTTTTAAAAACAACTGAAAGTTCTGGTCCTGAGTGTCTAGGTGAGACTTACGATTCTGGAATCTCAGCAGTCTCCCCAGCAGCCAAAACGATGCTGCTTTCGGTGGCCACGGGAGAGCTGGAGACAGTGAGTTTCAGGAGCTCGGACAGCATCCGTACCTCAAGGGACAGCAAGGAAAATGTAGGGGCTGGCCTGGGTGTGGGTGTTTTAGATCCATGTTCTCTCTTTCATGGAAGGTGGCTGGAGTTTGACTCCTCCCTGAGGCCATTGCTAAGCACTGCCTGGGCAACAGGGGAAGAACAGGAGGAGTAGGTGGGGTCTGTCAGGGTCAGGGGTCAGAGCTGGGCATCTCTGAGGGCTGCGGTTCCCCTTCTAGACTGCCTGCATCGGTTGCCTCTGAGTGTGACTTGCCTTCCGATTCACTGCAAGGCCCCAGATCCGGGTTAAAAAGGGACAGTGCTCACAGGCCTGGTTGCAGAGGGGACTAGGCTCACAGCCTGAGTTTCCTGCACCTTGGGGATTTAGTTATTGTGAAGGAGAGAGGGAAAACAGAACAAAACGAAAAGGGGGGGGATGACAACAGAACTTAGGCAGCGGGGAGCAGCGGGAGTGGCAGCCTTGTCTCCCAGCTGTCCTTCCCACCCGCAAGCACCACCCAAGGCCTGGGAGGCGCGGGCGGGGCGTCGCTGCACTTACCATGACTGTGGCCGCGGCCGCGGCTGCCTGGGCGGCCACCGCGGCCTGGTTGGCTTGGTGCTGCGCAGCTTTGATTTTGGCCTGCAAGTGTGCAGGAGGGTGAAAATATTTGCATTTCTCCCTCATGCAACGCCCCTTTATGTAATCCATACAAACGGTTACGGTGTTGTCGTTAGTGTCGATCATGGTGCTGTCTGCCGGGTGTGCAAAGCGGCAGTCTGTCTCTCCCCGGGCACAGTTTCCTCGCTGGAACTCCCTGCATACCTGAGGCAAGGGCAAAGAGCAGAGGCTGCAGAAGAAAGCCTGGTGGTCACCGCGCCAACGGAGGGGGCAGTGGGGGGAGAGGACCGGGAGGAGGGAGAGGAGGAGGAGGAGGCAGGAGAAGGGTGGGGAGAGGAGGGAGAGGAGGAGAATAGGAGGAGGGAGAGAAGGAGGGAGAGGAGGAGGGGGAGAGGAGGACGGAGAGGAGGAGGGGGGATAGGAGGAGGGAGAGGAGGACAGAGGGGAGGAGGGGAATAGGAGGAGGGAGAGGAGGACGGAGGGGAGGACAGAGAAGAAGAAAGAGAATAGGAGGAGGGAGAGGAGGAGGCAGAGGAGGAAGGAGAGGCAGTTGGGGATGTGGGGGAAGAGAAGGAAGGAGAACTAGGAGACACCCTTTCCACGTCCCCTCATGGTGCTTTTAGGTTCCCAGACAGTAAAACTGCTGTGATCTAGAACCCGAGTTACCAGAATTACTAACAAACTAATTTGGGTTTTGCTTTGATCATGTTTTCCAGGGTAAATACTGAAATGGAGAAATTAATCTGAAATCTGCTCTTTACCTAAAACAACAAAGGAAACATAATTGAACAAAGTCACATTGTCCCTGCAAAGCACGCCATATTCATTTTCATTTCTTACATGTATGTCTTTGAATGCATGTCACAGTTATATAACACATGCACAGCACATATCTACATATCTATCATACAACCCACACATCTATGTCTGTCTGTCTCTGTCTGTCTGTCTATCTATCATCTGTCATCACCCTCTCTCTTATTATCTATATCTATATTTCTAATTACCATCTATTTTTGTATCATTTATCTATCAATTATCATCTATCTGCTGATCTATCATCTATCAATCTATCTGTTGATCTATAATCTATCATCACCCTCTCTTTATCATCTATATTTCTAACTATCATCTATCTTTGTATTATCTATCATTTATTATCTATCTGTTGATCTATCTATCTATCTATCTATCTATCTATCTATCTATCTATCTATCATCAATCATGTACCACCACTAGCTCATTTGTTACTATGCTTATGCGGCCATAGTTATGCATTCATGCACACTATCTTTTCTCTTTTCATTTGTTCCTCTTTCCCTTTCATTTTCTCTCCCCCCTTGCCTCCCTCCCCTCCCCTCTTTCCCATTTTCTTCCATTCAGGGTCTCTTCAGTCACTCTATCTACATATGTCCTATAATGCCTGTGTGCTGGTTACACAGCTCACACAGTGGTACAACTGTGTGTGTATCCTACTTGGACAGTCACTCTGGGGTGCTATAGATTCCTGGCACAGAAAGATGGCTCACCCATGGACCAAGCTACCACAGCGTGCGAACAGTTCTGGGAAAAGTGCGCATGTGCTCACATCTCCGAGGATGGGGGCAAAGCTCAATGGCTGTGAGGGCTCTTGTCTCCCCTTCTCCCTCCCTGGTTCTCCAACAGTGTCACACCTAAAACCACCAATCCTAAGACTTAGAACACTTGGACGCCAAAACTTTCATTCTAAAGCCACCGGAGTATTTTTGATAGCTCCCTAAAGGTAAAAAGGAAAGAAATAGACTTAGAGGAAAAGAATAAAGTAAATGGAGGGGATAGAATAGTTAGAAATGTTTGTTTCTAAAAATTTTTAATTCCCTCGTCTCCTAAAATCTCAAAGAGCTGAGCTTCCCCATCTTTTGAGAATTCTAGTGAATCAAGATTTTACTACACACGGACAGATTTCTGTAGACACTGAAGGGCATTCTTCACTATAGACCATATGAAATAAGGAAAAGCCTGTGAATAGTAATTATGTAATTCATCCCTGCTTATAAATATCAGCAGGAAGAAGCCGCGGGATGGTAAAGTTGCTTCGTCTGGGCTCCAGTCCTACAGCGAGTAATGCGAACAGTGGCTTGCCTGCTGGTCACCAGTGACGGGACAGAGATATAAAGCTCAAGCCTGCAAAAGTCTGCCATGTCTGGGAGAGTATTTTACTAACCCCTGGCCAAGCCAGGTTGATGGGCAAACGGGTTGAACCTCAAACTCGTTCACAGTTTCTTCCTGTTTGGGTACTGTTCAAAGTTCTATCATCACTACAAAAGTTTCTAAATGAAAATCTAGTCAGATACTCACTTAAATTCTGTTTTTGGTTCATTTTGTTTTTCAACAGAATCTCATGCAGCCAAGGCTGGTTTCAAATTCACCATGTAGCAGAGGCTGGCCTTGAACTCCTAATCCTCAGATCTCTACTTTCCAAGTGATGGGACTCATAAGTGATGGGATCCCAGGGTTTATTAGGTTCTGACTCTGGCCTATTGGGCCCTGGTGGGTGTAGCTGGGACTTACACAGGCTACTGGGGTAGCTGGTGTCATTCCTGGCATGAAATGGACCCAAAACTGCTCTGTTAAGGTCATCTGTGGGGAGCAGACCCCTTGCCTACCAGTCCTGTTGGGAAGGACCCTTTGTTCCCAACTGTTCTCATTTTATTTGGTTTTTACTGTCATATCCGGAGCACCTAAGCTCCCACAGCCCCAGCAGGTGGAGCCCCAGACACCTCCTTTCTCAGAACAGATCGCAGGAGTCATAGGATAGCCTAAAGTTTCCAAAACAGCAGTGAGTAGGGTTTATATTGTCTTCATCTGGAAGCCCATATACTCTAGATGGAAGCTGAGTGAAAAAAAACACCGTAATTTTGAAAACATTTGCATTTTGACATCCTGAATTCTAAAACGTTTGCCAGGGGGCCGTAAACATTTCTTGTCCTCAAGATTTATTTGGTCAGTATTTAACTGAATGTGCTATAGATTACCTAGCATTTCTAATCAATGATGGAATTCAAGGGCGCCTTTCAAAAGTCTACCGGGACCTTTACATAACCACATGGAATGTACTGCAGGCTATCACAGGCACAGGGAAGCAGGTTAAAGAAAAATTTTATTCAACAAAGTCCAGGAGGATTTGCTTGCTCCAAATGTAAAAGTGTGTGTGTGTGTGTGTGTGTGTACACCTGCACTTAATCCTTTTGAATTTTACACAACATTTGAATTTTTGCTAAACTAAATATGTCATGGTAAATTAAATATGATATGTTAAAGACAACGTATCAATAACCAAATTAATCCAGCCCACAGCTTTTCCTATTTACCAGCGAAACCGTTAAGATGCTGTTAGCATCTGGAACACTCTGGAGCCACCTGCACTTGATTCTCACAACTGTTGGGCGCTGAAGTCCCATTTGTCCCTACTCTGGTCACTGAGTGCCCCCATTCCCCTGACTGCTGGGCTTCTGACCATTTTCAGAACTCCCTGAAGTCCGGTAAGGGCTCCTGCTGCTGTGCACAGCAAGAGCCAGCTCTGTGGCTCACGCGCCGACGACGTGCTTATTCTGTTGGTGGATATTTATCTAGTGTTTAGAGACAGAGCCTCACTCCATCGCCCACGTTAACCAGGGACTTCTCTGCAGCCCGGTCTGGACTTGAACCTGTGACAGGATTCTCGCTCCAGCTCTCTGGTGCTGGGATTACAGACACATGCTACCTTGTCTAGCTCAATATTTTCTTCTTACGAATGGAAGTCACACAGGTGAGTTTTGCTTATATCGAAGTTATTCTTTGCCTTGGGGCTAATTTCCTTCATGGCTGGCATTGATTCTACACTGCAGCACTGTGAGTACATGGGTTTACAACAGTGTGTGTGTGTGTGTGTGTGTATGTGTACACCTCCATGGATTTTCTGTAGGATGAAATGATCTCACAGGCATCTGCCATCCTGACATACATTTCTACCATCAATGAATTTCCAAGCACAGACAGAATTGAATTACCTCCAGTTTATCAGTCCTGAGAAGTTTCTGAGTCGCAGTGGAGCCCGGGACAGTGACTGGTGGACTTCCGGGGACAATGACAGGTGTGGTCGGTAGAATCTCTGTGGGGACTAACCCAACTCCGGGGGTGACGGGCGCTAAGTAAGGAGCAAAGCTAATAGCTGTGTTTGTCCCTATGGTGGGACCTACAGGAAAGGTGGGCTGTTAAAGGAAAACAACACAGGAGAAAGTCATTTAGTACAAAAACTTACCAACGAGCGTCATTTGAGCAGAAATTTACACAATCACTAGTGAATGCCGTCTGAGAGGAAATGTCCCCTGCCTGCCTAGAATATCCTTTGCATCAGGTACAGAACTCAACTCTGAATTGCAAAAATTCACTAAACACTCCCTTTTATTTTCCAAATATGAAAACATCATAGCTCCATTCTTACCCAAGCCCTACAGACATATTTGGAGAGAATCAGAGAAAATCAGTGTCAAGGGACAGATTATACTTTCCCTGGGAAAATGTTTTCAACAACCGAAAATACTAATTTCACCCAAATTACCTATCATTCCAAACTACTGAGTGCTCTAACCAAAGGCAATAAGACCTACAGAATATAGACTGGCTGTCTATCATTTTCCTGTAGGTCTCTACAAGGGCCATAAATAAAGCACCCCTTGATTCTAGCTCGGTATTGCTGTTGGCCAAGTTCACACATTTTCAAGCAGTGGAGCTTCTTAGGGATTCTAACAGTATGTTTTCATCTCTCGTCACTAGCACGTACATACCCAACTCATAGGCGTGTTCATGTGTACCTACTATATGCTGCTCTACCTACTATGTGTCAGTACATCCTTCCATTCTTGAAAGGTTGGACCAGAGAGCTTGCAGTTTTCAACTGTGAATATTTTTTTCACATGGCCTCTCAAACTTTCCTGGGTCACACAATCAAAATAGCAGTGATAAGCACATCCAATTTCTTGTTAAATGTGTTATCCATCACCATAGTCCTGCCTAAGAAGAATTACACAGTGGGTTGGTAGGACAATTATTTTTAAAAGTTCCATCTAGTAAATATCTAGATAATACTGTCCTCCAGAAAGGACGTTATGTACACTTAGACAGCAAACCTATTTTACATCTATTTATTTAAACAAAGTCTCAATACACATTCCAGGGCAGATGGTTAACTATTGTGTAACTCATTCAGCTCATGCTGGCTGCAAACTCGGCAGTCCCCTGCCTCAGTCTTCTGGAATTATGGGCATGAGTCACCATGCAGGCTATACATTTTCTACCTTTGAAGAACTGCTGGTAACATGATTTCCAAAGAGTTTTCTAAGAATAAACTGCACATTGAATTAGACCTAATGGCTCTTTATTTGTTTGCTTGGTTTTCTCAGCTATGGAACTTCTTTTCTTTTTTTTTTTTTTTTGAAGTATTGGGGCTTGAACCCAAGGTCTCCTATGTAATAGGCAAGAACTTTTCTGCTTATATTCCCAGATTTACAGACACTCTTGTAAACTGTTTGCTTTCACGATGAGTGCTCAAATATTTCCAGTCACGTCTTGATGCGACTTTCAAGCACTGAGCTATGTTGTTGCTGTGTGTCATAATATTTTCCTATTTTTACACTGTGGGTAACATTCTCTTCTGTTTGGACTGTAGATGAGTTGTTTAACACATGGGAAAACTAACGGTCTGTGTGAGTATAGTTTCAGTTAGACAACAGAGCAATGTCTCTTATGGATGACCATGTTGGGAAACAGCAAATTACTGATAGTTTGTGTAGAGATTTCCAGAGAGGCTGCAAAGTCTTCATAGGAGTGGCCAGGAGCTGAACGAGGGGACTCTAATGGTCTTGGAGGAATGCTGGGTAGTTTTCCCATGAGGGGCTCTTACATCTTTATGGTTCAGAAATAACATTTGCTTTGGGAGAAACTGCAACATGAGCTCCACACACTGAAGAGGGATGGTGGTTTAGTATGTTTTCTACAAAAGTTTCCATGGATGTGATGTGGTACCCACTGGAGTCATAATTATAGAAAGCTGTGGCTTTTTAGTAACCGTCACTTTTGTAACTCAGTGCTATTGAAAAAAAGTCAAGTAACTTAATAGTATAAGGACTGCTTTTTTTTTTTAGGATTAAAAATATCAACCTTGAAAGGCCACACACATCAGTGATTCAATGGACCTACTGTATCTAAACTGCCTAGGGGTGGGTTTTTTAAGGTGGTGAATGCTGGTACAGTAAGTCTTGGCAGGAACCTTGAAATTCTCATTTAAAAGCATTACTGTGTGACTAAATTTGGGGACCACTCTCATAAACGAGGAATGAAAGCAGGTATCAAAAGCCATATTTGTACCATGAGATTCAGTTCAGACAAGAATTAACAAAGCTGGTATTTAGAAAAATGAAAACCTCCCTGAATACCTCTGATCTGATTTTTATGGATGCAAATACCTTGAAAAATCATTTATTTATTTACACACACGTATGCACATACCCGTGGCTGTGTGCTGTATCTGCCATATGTTTAAACTTGCCCGAAAGGCCACAGGAAGGACTCAGACATCCCTGGAGCCCCAGTAAGTACAGATGTGAGCTACCTCACATGGTGTTAGGAGACACGCTTGGGTCCTTTGGAAAGCCAGCAAGCACTCTTAACTGCTGGCCCATCTCTCCAGCCCCCCCTTTTTTAAATGCATGTAGATTCCCAACTCTCTCCTGCTACAAGTGAACTTGGTGATATAACTGCACATTGACCCTTGGATATCTGTACATAAGAATCTCAAGACATGTTTTCCAAAGTCCTTTTTTTTTGATGTGTACGAACTTATTCCAATAAAATATTCAATTGTGCCTTCAAAACCATGTTATTTGTTCATCTGATTTAAGGTTCTGAAACATATTTTCAATGTGCATTATAGGTGATAGCAGTCACGTTTCGCCAAGACATAACGCCATTTAAAAAAAAAAAACAATGAGAGGTTCTAGATGCAGAAAGACCTGCATCCAAATCTAGTCCTTTCTCACTTATTTTCGTTTCCTGAAGGGGAAACCAACTTCTTTGAGTTTTCAATTTTCTTGTCTGCAATGGACAAGTAAATCATTTAGAGGGTCAGCCGAGCAAATGGCCACTTCCCCCCCTCTCCCGCTGCCCAGTTATCCTGTGTGTCTCTAAGGTGAGTGAAGTCAGCCCAGAGATACTCTCGACAGATGGGGAGAGTGGACTTTAACTGTAGCAAGTATCTTGTCTTCATCTCTTAAAATGCACGTTGGGAAAATGCTTTCTCTCGTGGGAAACGCAAATGTTTAAAGTTCATAGGCCTTCAGAAGACAGATTCAATTAGACATCAGACAGTTTCCTTTTAGCACGCAGACTGTCCTTCACCGAAGTGGACGAGTGACAAATATACTCACGGTCACTTGCTGAGATGTGCACTCTCTGGCGGCAGCGTGACAGGCTTCATATCTGTGGCCAGTTCTAGTGTGTGCAAAGCATTGTCACGCATGTTCTCTCCTTCGGTCTTTCCTAACTGGTCCACGAGAAGCAAGCGTAACTGGGAACTACCACCTTGCAGGCGAGGCTGGTCAAAGAGCAGACCCTGAGCGGTTAAGCCAAAGTCAACGCTCCTGAGGACGAGTCAACTCAAAACATCCCAGGACTCCTGCCTCCCCGTGTGGGCTGAGTGTCTGCTCTCGAGTATTCCATAGACCAGGCCACTTGGAATCAGTAGACCATGTCCACACGTCCTTGACGCGCACAGACGGAGAGCACGGTATATGTCCCGCCACTGGCTTGCGCCTTTATGGACAGGGTGCATGGGCCTGCTCTGACCAGTTGTCAGTCCCTGCTGCCCAGGAAAAGTGGCTCTGAGATCCTGTTTTAAAGCAAAACTCCAGGGGGATGGGGGGTGGGAGGAGAGAGAGAGAGAGAGAGAGAGAGAGAGAGAGAGAGAGAGAGAGAGAGAGAGAGAGAGAGAGAGAGAGGGAGAGAGAGAGGAGAGAGAGGAGAGAGAGGGAGAGAGAGAGAGAGAGAGAGAGACAGAGACAGAGAGCGAGAGAGAGAGAGCGCCTGTGTCAGCCACGCATCAGGGCGTCTGAGAGGAGAGCAGGGAAGCTGCTCCGAGGACTCCACTCTTGGAGACACACACCAGCTCTAGCCTTGGGTATTCCTAAGCTCGCTGTCTCTGCACGGTGCTGCCTCCGAGAGGTCTAAGACACTCTCCAGTTGGTACCTGTCAGTTCTTAGTGCTAGCATACGGCTAAGCAGGCCCGAGGGCAAGATCCACAGAGAGCCTTGGTGAGGAGGATCTCTTCTGGCGGGCTGGCCTTGTTAGTCTCTCCCTCTGCCTTCCCTCCACAGTCCTACTTTTCTCTCCTTTCGTAAGGTACACTCACGCCTCTGGTACCTCTGAGGTAGACAGGGCTGGATGGAGGGTGGAATCCGCAGGACTCCATGATTAAAACGTTCAAGTCACCGTGCCGAGTGATGCGGGGGGGGGGGGGGTATCTAAGAGAAGGAACCAGCCAAAGTGAAAAGCAAATGGGACGCTTGCTTCCTAAGCTAGGAGTAAAACCAAAGGAGTTTTAGAAGTCCCGCTCCTGTTTGCAAAGACCCCTGTGACGTCTGCAGAGCATCGGAGGGCAGGGAGTGCAGAGGTCAAGGCTTTAGAAGGACAGGGCCATGAAAGGGGTTGGAAACCAGGTCAGTGGAGGTAGATGGCATTGAGGGCATCATGGCAGGACCTGAGGGTCCTGGCTTTACGAGGCCGCTGGCTTTGCTTGCGGCTGCTGGCTGGCGGCTCCGTTTACTGAAATGCGGATGTAGGGGGACAGAGACGTCGGGCTTGAATGTGTTCGTGCAGGAAAGTTTAAGGTGGGTTTAGACAAAGTCAGGTCTATGAGCCCCGCGGGGGAGATGTTTGGAATGGGGACACACATTTGATTCTTAATCGGTAAAAAAAATATGGCTTTCGGAACAGTCTGGGCTAACCAAGAGAGGGTTGATAGAAATAAAAGACCAAGATGAGGGTCGGAGGGAAAGGAGTGTCCAACTGGGAGAGATTGCTGATGTGTGCTGAGAGCTTCTAGGAGGTCCAACATGATTACACTCGTGGATTTGGTCTGTGAGGGTCCAAATACCAAAACTGGGTGATTTTCACACACCGGACATTTATTTACCACAGGCCTAGAGGCAGGGAAACGCATGGCGATGACACCAGCAGGTGTCAAAGGTCCAGCGAGGGTGTACTTGCTGGTTCCTACTACGTTTCTAATTGCGTCTGTCTGTCTGTCTGTCTGTCTGTCTGTCTGTCTGTCTGTCTGTCTGCCTGCCTGCCTCACACACTCCTCTCTGTGTGTGCATGCATAGATGTTAGAGGACAGCTTGTATGCATTGGTTCTCTCCACCATGTGGGCCCTGGGAGACCACGTCGGGTCCAGCATGGTGGCGAGTGAGGGCCGTAACTCACTGAGCCATGTAGCTGGCTATGTGCTGGTCTGAAGACGCTTGCTTCGGGTGAATCCCTCGTCCTCTGGGCACTGGCCGCGTGTGCTATGGGCTCCAGCCCCTTCTTTGGCGCTCGGCCTCAGTTGTCAAGTTTACCGAGAGATACCAATGACTAGCGAGACGCATCTGTGTGTCTCTAGGGTGTTTCCAGAGAGGACTGTTACATGCACCAGAGACTGGGGGTGGGTGGGGGCATCGCCCGTGTTGGGCGACACCTCCCGTCAGACAGAAAAGAGGTCTGGAGCAGACACTGAGCGGTGTGTGTCCCCGCAGCTCCTGCATTTCCAGGGATGTCCGTTGCCAACGCTGTAATTCTCCGTTCACACCAGGCTCCGGCTCCTTCCACCTTTTGACACGGGGGGGGGGGGGGGTTCACGAGACGCCTTCCAGGCTTCCAGTGCCAGACAGAACCTGCTCAGCTTCCTGCTGGGCGTGGCACCTACATGGTTATCCAGGTCAGCGCTGGAATGCAGAAGTTAGCAGATCCCCCTCTCGTTCCGGTCCTCCAGGGATCCTTGCCGAAAAGGGACTCCCAAATCACGCCACCCCGAGTGGGCAGGGCTTCAGCATAGTGAGCTGGAGCAGTCAAGCATCCAGACTGACAAGGAAGGCAGAAAGTAGCCGCCGGCTTGGAAACACAGAAAGGAAACGCTGTGGAGAAGTCTCCACGGAGCGATGTCAGAGGCGGCTGGAAGACGGAACAGAGAAAAAGAAGCGTGGCTTTAAGGCAGTTGAGGCTGGCGGGAGACAAAGCGGAGCAGCCCTTGCTTCTTTGGTGACCGGTTTATTAGTTGCTGCGGTGCCATGCCACGCTGGTCGATCCTGTCACAGCGCTCAAGGCTGGAGATCCGCAATCAGTTACGCTGCTCTGCAAGCAAGGTCCTGAGGGGATGCTGTCTTTCTGGAGACTTCCGGGGGAAACCCATCCCTTGTCTCTTCCATCTTCTGGTGGCTGCTGGCCTTTCTTGGCTTGTGACCATATCAGGTCTCTGCCTCTGCGGATACGTGGCCTCTGTCTGTACCCGCCCTCTTTGTGACTCCATTGACTGTGAGAATCTCATCATCTGTGGACTATGACCACAATGGCAAAGACCCTGTGTCCATATATGCATATACATATTCATACACAAACATACACAAATACCAGCATGTACATATGCATATACATATTCATACACATACATACATAAATACCAGCATGTACATGTGCATATACATATTCATACACACACCAGCATATATATATGCATATACATATTCAAACACACACATACATACATACAAGCATGTACATATGTGTATACATATTCATACACATACATACATACTAGCATGTACATACGCATATACATATTCATACACAAACATACATACCAGCATGTACATATGCATATACATATTCATACACATACATACATGCCAGCATACACACACACATATACATATTCATACACATACATACATATATACATACCAGCATGTATAGGAAGCAAGAACTCCAAGGGTCATTATTCAGTTAACTGACTAGGATACACATTCATTTCTAAAATTCTGAGGAAATTTTGCTGGTAAGTTTTGAATGTTAGATTCAGCATGCCCTGCACTTTAATACATCTTGTGATTTAAAAATCAGTATTGCAATATTTAGATGGGCCATTCTTTTTTTTTCCATAGCAGAACAGTGATTAACTTCTAATTAATATTTGAGGCAAATACGCAAACATTACTCTTAAAAATAGTTCAACTAATACTTAGTGGCACAAAGTACTCTTCTTATTAGTATGAAAAGGGCTGAGTACCAGGGCCAATTCTTATTAATTCTAAATAAACAGGAAGTGTATAGTTTGAATGACCGAGACACATAACACATGGTTGTTATATCGACCTGGCTCATATTAAATTTACTGCCATAGACATCATTTAATATGTATAAGTGCATTATTTTAACATTTAGGTAATTTAATAAAAATAATTTCATGTGCACATCAAAAAGTGAATCATAAATTATGCATGTGTGGAGTTTTACACAGGCCACTGAAATGGCTGGTGTTTGGATTAAGCTCTGTGTGCGTTAGGTCTGTCCATCTGGGATAGCTTTCTGGCTCCGTGTAATGACTCACTCGACACCTCTTTCCTTCAGCAACCTTTCCTTGAGCAACATCCCCACTTCTGTCTCTCCGTCTTACTCAGCCCTGTTCAGGCATCTGTCTGTCCCCAAAGGCCACACCTGTCTTACCTTGGGATCATCTGCATTTTTCTCCTACTCTGGGCAAAGGTGGAATTCGGAGTCAGTTTCTGCCTGGAGGCTAGCAGAACCGCTAAAAAAACATCTGGGGTCTTTCCACTCTTCCCGCCCATCCCCAACCCATCCCGCAGGAACACAAGAGAAAAAAAAATGGTACCCACTGGTTACCATCCCTTTTAATTTAGCTGCTCTCACTCACATACACTCTAATTACTCACATAGACTCTTATTACAGTACAGACTGATTTTTACATAATAGCCTTTTGTGGGAATTCACTCACTTTGGTTTTTTTTTTTAATAATTTAGTTTTTCCACAAATCGTTCACGTTGTAAATGAAACCCGCCGTGGCCAAATGCACTCCTTTCTCCCCCAGAGCCTTAGTCCTAAAGCAATTTCTCAACCTTTAGGGAGGTAGTGTCAGACACTGTCAATCGGGGAGAAAAATGTTACACAGTACATGTTTATTGAGACACTCAGCTCCCCGGGACATGGAATCTGCGGTTCCTGTTGCAGCAGCTACCTCACCCTTTGCGGGCTTGGGGGAGACAGGGTGAAGTGAGTAGGCTATCCCCTGGTGTGTTGCTGCTTGGAGCATCCATTACCGCGAGGCTGCTGTCCGTCTCCATCTGGAGCACGCTGTACAGGGCTCCCTGGTTAACGACCTAGTTCAACTTATTAGTCGCAGGACGCTGGAGAGCTCACTCCTCTCCTCTCTCACCCCCCTCACCCTCACACGGGGACACTGGGTTCCCCAACCATCCACTTACACGGGTGCATTCGTTTTAAGGCGACACAACCTCTCCGACACGCAGCCGGACATCCCAAACTCCAAATAAAAATGTGGGTCAATTTTCCCACCTGAAGATGACTTGAAATACAGAGATTGCTGAAGCGCAGAGACGAGGAAGGGCTTGGTGCGGTGCACATTTCCCAGATATCGGTTAGACGCTGTCCTTGTGACCCATTTCTAAACCCGTGTCGTTGCATTTTAATGAAGAGAAACCCAGAGCTAATTCCCAGCCTCCACTGTGATTCAGGGCCACCAGCTCTGATTGCAACCAGAGCGGCAGGGTAAGGGGACGTCATCTTCAGTGACCTCGGCACTGCCCGTGCTGACCCCGCAGTCACCCGCCCATCCTCAGAGAAGGCACACTCACCACGGGATGGAGCGGTGTTCCTGGAAACATAAATTGCATCTGCTGGGCAAGCATCGCTGCTGCAGTTTTTTGCTGGATCAAATTGTTCCTCCCATTGATTTCTAGTTGGGTTTTTAAGTGTGTCGGAGGATGAAGGTACTTGCAGTTCTCTCTTGAACAGCGGCCCTGCAAAATGGACAGTCTGGGGTTAGGACTGCAGTAGGGAGCTAGGCACTCCGGTGACAGCAATGTCACAGTCATTACTTGTGTTTCTCAGCTTCCAAGGCAGTGTGTGTGTGTGTGTGTGTGTGTGTGTGTGTGCGTGTGCGCGTGTGTGCATGTGTGTTACAAAAATCAAATATTACATGATTATCAAGGTCTATCCCCTTCCCTTCTCCTCCCCTCCCTCTGCCCTTCCCTCCCCTTCTTCCCCTCCCTCTCTCTGCTTCTCCCTCTGAAAGACCCCCAGAGTGGGAAGACCTTCACTCAAGTCTCAGGATAAGCTGATGCCCCAATAATTCAAGAGAGACTGTTCTTGCTGCAAGCACATGAGGTTTATTCGGGGAACCAGTGCACTGGGGCCAAGCTCATGACCCTCACAGGGACAGAGGAGTTCGACTCCTAGTAGCTGCAGTCGGGGATTTTTAAAAGGGAGAAACCGAATCGGGGAGTTAGGCAAATATCATAAAGGATGAGAAGTTAGATGATAGCTTATGTCTTAACAGGAAAGTTATCTCAAGCAAGCATTCTTTGGGCATTGTACAGTTAAACATTGAGCAGGAATGTGGTGAGCTAGTTCCTGGATCAGGGAGGGTTATCTTTTAGTTTTATCTTGAGGTCTCTGGTTTCTCAGGAGAGGGCAGAAGGGCAAGTCACTCTATGATGGGCTAGTCACTAGGGGTCTAAAAATGTTGAGTTGGGATCTCTCACCTCCCTCCGTCCCTCCGTCTATCTCTTCCCATCTTTCTTTATGTGAAACCTAGACAACCTATTTCAAAGAGACAGCAGCTGAGAGCAAAGGGGAAGGCCTCCACAATCAGAGGGGCACGCTCGTCTTGGCCTACAAGGTCTTTGCTGCTCGCTAGTTTGGACATGCTTGGGTGATGTGAACGTATGAAGAGTTGGCCGCTACACACGCTCAACACAGAAGAGAGTCGGGGGTTTAAGTGTGTCTTCCAGACTGGCCAAAGATATCAGTTTGCAGCTGTTGATGGTGAGGTAATGAGGAGAGACTCCTCGTAACTGCTTGCTGATACCCACCCAGGTGAAATCTCAGCGAGAGCTTGGATCAACCTCTGCAAGTCTGATAATGTCCTTTCCTCACCCTTCCCCAGGAAAGGAGGCTCTGATTCAGTGTCACAGAGTGACAGCCAGAGGCGTGTTTGTGGCTGTGCTGTTGTCTGGACATGGAAATTGGTAAAATGAGGTTTAAAAACAAAAACAAAAATAGCAGGTGATGGGTGTGTATGCAAACAGACCTGAAAAGTAATTGCACATGGAATTACAAAATTCCAAGGTTTGCAAAACTACCAGTCACAAGAGAATCACACTCATGTGTCAATTATGCAACTTCCAGGGGGAAGAGCAGAAAACCATGTTTGTCAGTTGGAATATCACCGTTCCCTAAAGAATTAGTCTATTTGCAACCAGGCAAGAAGAAAGAGTATGGGTTTATTTACCAGATAAAAAGAATTACGGTAAGCTTGGCGGCGACACTGGAGGAATGAATTTGTTTACAGCCACACTGATGCGTAACATCTGGCGTTCTCTCTGTTTCCAGGGATGCCAGCTGCACTTTTGGCCTCCCTAGCTTCTCCTCCAGTGAGAATTTCCCCTCGAAGACATGGTGATGGGCAGACCTGAGTCCCAGGCTCACCCCTGGTGGTCTGTGTCATCAGCTTGTGCCATCTTGAAGCTCAACTCAGCAGTGTGGGCAATTGCCTGCCTCAATGTCTCGGGCAAGGCATGAGTTGATACCTCATGAATCTTTAGCATAAGCAACACCAGATTCTTAGCGTCAAGCTCTTGTTGTGGATTTCCTATTCAGCTTCCTGTATGCAAACAGACATCGTAAGGCCATGCCTACTGTGATGGCTCTGGGGAAGCTGGAGCTGCCCCTGGGAACCGACTCTTATCCATCCTCTCCCTGTCTCTGAGTCTCTGCAAATCTCCTTCGGGTGTTTCGGTCTTCATTTCCGAATCCTAGCTTTACGCAATGCTTTGTACCTCCCCAGGGTCCCTCCATCCCTAAGAACTTTTACTTCAACACGTCTTTCTTTTCTGTCTTGACAATCCCCCCGGCCTATGAGTTTGTTAAAATTTAATGTCCAGGAGAGCATTCAGATGTGGCCAGCCCCTTCATCTCATCATGCAGCCAGTCAGGGACTCAGCTGCCTTGATGTCGGGTGTCCAGATGAACCCTGTTATCCGTGGAGGAAGGCAGTGATGGAATCCGACACACAGCCACTTCCCATGAGCTCCGGTGTGGAGGGTTATTAAACAAAGGGACGCTCTCCTATAAAAGCTAAGGCACCTCCCGTGACCCCGGTCCCAACTCTTCAGACACAGGCACTGCGCTTGGCACCTGGCATCTACCAGATGCATGTGTGGGTCGTGTACACGGATGCGTAGGTGGGGTGAACGCAGGGACTGGAAATCAACAAATAAGTGCATCAGGACGGTAGAAGGTTCAGAGGTAAACTGTCAATTTGATCACTAATCTTGCAATCCAATGCGTTGCTACCATTCAAACAGGCTTCAGTTGGCTGGGAAATATGGCTTTCTTATCGATGCTGCCAAATCCTTCTTACAACCGGGAGCCCTTGGAGAACTACACTAGCCATTTCTTCCTGGTGACAGAACATGGCTCATAACATTAGATTCATCATTTATCGAAGGAATCTTCCTTTTCACGAGCATTAATTCAATGTCCCACTGTCCTCACTTACACACTCTGGGTACAGAATAGTACTGACCATCAATGCGCCAGGCAATTTATATGTGGTTATCACATTTTCCCCTAACAACAGCAGTGGTGACTCCCTACTTCACCGAGTAGCAGACGGGATCCAAAGAACCAGGTAACACTGGCAGATCATCTGCTTGCTAAGAAGTGGGGCTGTATTATAAAGCCATGTCTTGCTTGACTCAATTCTATGACTTCACTGAGATATTTATTTGCAATAGCTGAAGTCCGGGAAAGATAAAAATCTAGTACTTCTACATCCTTTGCAAAGCCACAGGTTGCAGAACGGAACTTAAATACACTGGCATACACATATGTAAGCACTTGGGACCGAGAGACAATGATTTGCTTGGTCTACGCATTGGAGGGTGCACAGGCATCGGTAAACTCACGTGTTATGGGCTCCTAGCTCAGCCCCGCCCTTTCCCATCTGTATGGCTGTTATTATTTTCTTCCTTTGTACATTGAAAACAATGACTATGTCCCCCTTGTGGCACTGTTATGCAGCTTAATAAATTAAGACATGGTAAAGCTCAGAGCGTTGCCTGGCATACAGGAAGCCCTGAGAAACATTATGAGTATGCAAGGAAAGTATTTGTATATGGTATTTTGTTTAGAGCAAGTGTAAGACCACAGGTCTACTGGTATTCTTGTTAGTTCCTTGTTTCTCCTATGGGATAAACTTTCATGATAAAGGCCAATTAATTGTGTCCCTATATAACTGTCCCTATATAAACAAATAGCCCTAAAACCCTAGATCAGTCTGGTATCAATACTTTAAGGAATGTTAGTTCCTGGATACCTGAGGAACACCAATCCCAGCACTGGAAGAGTCTAGGAAACAGAATTATTAGTAAGAGACCCTATAGGATTCCAAAATCCTAAAGGAAAACCTACTGTCAAAAGATAATGAGCTCTCCAACACAGTAAAACAATTTGAAGGCACAAGATTTCTCAGGACATGCATCCTTGCCCAAAAACCGGTCTGTTATCAAAGCAGGTTGTCATACTGACCCAGAGGGGACAGCGTGAAGAAGCGAAAGGACCTCTATAGACCACCACGGAACAAAGCCGAGGTGTCAAAGACAGCGTCCCCTGAGGTTGACCCGAGAAACAAACACAAAAATGTAGCGGAAAATTTCCCCACAGCTGCCCGGACGTGTTTCTTGTTTTCCTTGCCGTTAACGTTTCTTCTCAGGGAACGCAGGAAGCAAGGTCCGGCCCTGCCCGGGACAGCTGGGTTGAGCTGGAGCACGCCCCTGCAGTGCTCTGGGAGGGTTGTACGGCAGCTGAGAGCTGGAGCTCAGGTTGAGGCCAGCGGTGAGCTCATGAGGAGGACGAGCCTGGAATCTACAACCCCCCGGCTCACACAAGTTTGTTCACCTCTTATGGCAGGGGTGGGGGGTGGGGGGGGTGGGGGGTGTCCCGCCAGGTGTAGGGATGGTGGACGGGTGCCGGGTGCGTGCGGATTCCAGGCCACATGTCTTTTGTCACCTTGTCACCTCGCTCTACGGACACTTACAACTGAGCATCGTGCATAGTGCCTAGCCAAAGGTGAGCACAGATGGGACACACTGTCCTCCTTCGGGGCGCCTGTGGGCTGGCGGTAAAGACGATGGTAACTAAGACTTGTGTGATCACAAATTGTGAGATGCATTCCAGAGGGGGATGTGGGGAAGCAATGGTAGGAGAGGGACAGAAATGACAGGTGTCATGGAAACTGAGAACTGGAAGACACACAGGAACCCACCAAGGGAATGGGTGGCGGCCAAGGCATCCACTCGTGTGTGTGTGTGTGTGTGTGTGTGTGCGCGCGCACGCGTGCGTGCGTGCATGTTGTACATGTACACTGAATGTATGGTGTGCATGGTATGTGGTTATATGTGCTGTGCTTGGCGTGTTCACGTGTGCCGCGTACGTGTGTTTCTGTGTTGCTATATGTCACCAGAAGAGACTATGCTTTGGGAAGGAATGTCCCATCTGGGAACTTATATGTGGTTTCCCAGGCTGGAGCCCAGAGTGTGGGGTCAGGGCTGGGGGTATCGAGAAAAGAAGAAGCAGGCAGAGGTGGGTAGAGGCCAGATAACACGAAAAATGAGATCGCAGTTGAGGAGCGTGTTCTTCGTGGCCTCTGAGAGTTTGTAAGCAGGAGATTAACACAGCTGATTTATACCTTACGGTACATTTAGGTGCTGCCTTGATGATTTCAGTTTTACATTGCTAATCTCGGCTTTGCCCCGCCCCTAGACTTTCCACTGGCATGCGTTCATGTGAACAGGTCATACTGGGGTGGGCCGGGGAGCGGGAGGGGGCAGGCCTTTGGGAGTATAGCCATCGGGGTGGAGGATAGGTGCTCTCAAAGTGGCATTCTTGTATCCTAGAGCCCACTGCTGGCCATGGGAGGTGGTTCCTGGGGACAGTGAGTGTCCTGGGACCACTGACGGGCCCAGAAAAGCCACAGAGGGGCCTCTTAGACCCTGGCATCCTACAAGCATCCTGAAAATCTGCAGCCAGGAAGTTCACTCCTGACCAGGGGTTCCACTCCTGATTTCCCTATGTGGCCTGGGAAAGTGGTTTAAGCTAAGGATTGGGAAACAGACTAATGGGTCTTAGAATCCGGCTCTGTTTTTATTGCTTAGAACAAGTGAGAAACACAATGGGAAACAGACTAATGGGTCTTAGAATCCGGCTCTGTTCTTATTGCTTAGAACAAGTGTGACCTCTGGCCTCCATCTGTGCCATCTGCAAAAAATGATAGTTCTCTAAACCTCGTAGCTTCCCAACAAAGATCCAGAGTTCATTCCTATGAAATGTTTAATGGCGTCTAGAAAACAGTAAGCAGTATCTGAGCTTCATAATCACCATCATCATCACCACCACCACCACCATTAACCCCTTCTTTACTCAGCGAGTGATGACACACCCTTTAAAAAGACACTGAGTGCATAGTTTCTCCGCAGCTGTGATTCTGTCTGGCCTGTGTACCTAGCGCCAGCTTTGGACATTTATCTTTCCAAAGAGCCTTAGATCTCCCTCTCCCCCTCCCCTTCCCCCCCTCTCTCATATCTGTCTCCTGTGCGGAGACTTGCCAGGGCTGGTCCACACCGCATAACTCACCCAGAGTTTAAAGCAGTTAGTGCTACAGCTGGGGAGTCCTGATTGCGGCTCTCTCTCCAGATGGCTGTGGGAACTTTTACTAGTACCTTACGAAGCCTCCGTCTCGGGTTTTCTCACCTATGAGATGAGAGCGATTCTGCTCTCCTACACCGATGCCTTCCAACAGTTGTTAGAGTCTGGGGGAGGGGGGGAGATAGCAGAAGTTGCTCCAAAAAATTTTACATAAAAGGGTGAGTATGGTTTCTAGACATCTCTGTTCTAGAATCCTCCCAATCTGGTAAAAAAAAACAAAGAGTCCACAAAATCCAACAGTTACGGTAAAAGGTGGCACTGGGAACATCTGGCCACCGCCCAGATAAGTCCTGAGAATTATGAGAAGTCGGTGTGGCCAGGCATGCAGGACACCGCCAGAAAGGGGGTTGAGTCCAAATGATTAGGACTAGGAGGATTTATTAAGTGCCGACAGTATACACGCCTCAGGTGTGAAAGCCCTCACCTGACAGTGGGCCGCCATATCTGGTCATTGTGCCAGAGAAGAGACTCAACTGGCTGGGTGGGCCGGGGGTTAACAGCCTCAGTTTCCCTGTAGTTTCAAAATCCACCAAGGTTTGTGAAGCGGGGATAGGGTGGGCTGCGATTTGGTGGTGGAGCTGCGTTTTCGCAGGTTCAGTATTCTTAGGCGTTGGAGTCAGGTCATCCAGGTTGATTGTAACCCTTGACTGGGACTTCTGGTCCTTCCATGAAGGGACAGCGAGGGGCGTGGAATGGCTGCTGACGTCAGAACCTAGTTCATAACATCAACTGTGGGCCTGAGCCAGCTCTGCTCAAAGCCAGTGACAGAGTAGGCTTTTCGCCTTCCTTTGAACTTAAGTGAACTAACCGAGCCACACGGGCTCCTTGCATTATTAGCTCAACCATACAATGCAGCAGATAAGACGGAAGCACACAAGCATGCTGGGAGTAAACGATAACCAGAACTTCCATCAAAATGAACGACTTCTCGTGTCGCCGGCTTTACGTGCGGGTCTAAAGCAGGTCCTTTCAGCTTATTACTTGGTTCAGTTTATAATACGATTTGTCTTTTATAGAACTCCCACGCAACAATGTCCCAGTAAACAGCAAGACTGTTACGCTTATTAGAGATATTGAGGTGGGATACTTGCAAATGTCTCTCTTGCCGGGACAAGTTCCTTTCCCTCTTCATTGTGGAAGACACATGCAGGACACTCCGGGGAAGATTTACAGTGGAGGAGAACCCATACATGCCAGGAGGTAGTCTCGGGCAGCTTCAGCTATGCCACGACCCACCGCTGGCGGCGTTGGCGGAGTTCAGCGGCGCAGAAGGAAGGTTGGGGACTCGCGAGCGCCCTGGTGCCTTTTCTTCCCCCACAAAAGCCATCCAGGCATCATCCTATCGCCTACACGGACCGTGGTCTAAGGCCAGGGGTGCTCCGCGGCGCTGGAGTACTAACCTTGGAAGGCACTGAATGCCACTGCTGTTTCTCTCTGCGTCTGCCTCACCAGAGGGCTGGGGAGATGGAGGCCGTCTGTCGCAGGTGAGCTCCTCAGGCAGGCTTGGACTGACTCACCGAGCGCCAAGGAACTGCCCACTCCTTTGGGAGCTGGTGGTGTTGGCACGTGCCTTTATTTTCGTGGCGATTTAAAATGGGGAAGACTATAGACGGAGAAGGAATGTAAAGGAGTCGGGCTGCTTGCGTTTGGCATCTCAGAGCCTATGCAAGCATAGCTTTTGTAAAAACGGATCTCGATTGCCTGGCAGCCTCGGTTTCCCACACTCCTGTGCCACGTGACGGGGAAGAGTGCTCATTGTTGCCTTGGCTGTTGAGCAAGCCTCCTCCTCCTCCTCATTTTATCTGTTCGAGCTGAAAACCTGACAGTAAGGAGAAATCAGCGAAACCAAAAATAACCCCTGAGTTCTCTTGAGATCCAGGGAAACAGATTTCTGTGCACCAAATGCCTCGTTTGAAAAATTTTCCCACTTCTTATTTTATTTATTTATTTTTATGTGTCTTCTGAGTCACAAGGGACGTTTGGTTAGTGTAGACCATGATGCGTGTCAACCGCGCAAGGAACCTGTCTGGTGGTGACTTGTGGGGTGTTCTGACATGGTGGTCATAAACCTGTACATGCCAGGGGGAAGAAGGAGTCCTCGAGATAGTCACAACATGGCTCTGGGGCTCTTCCTGTGGGGGAGGGCTGTCCTCTTCCGCTACTCTATTTGTAGAGCCCACGACACCAACTCTTACACAGTGGCATGCAGTGAATGTTACCAATGGCCTTCCTTCTCTTTTTCCACAAGTGCGTGCTGGCCCTGTCCAGTGCCACACTCTGCCACACGAAACAGCACCTGAGATCCAAAGTGCGGGAAAGCCTGTCGTAGTGGCACACTCTTGTAACCCCAGGGCCGGGGACACGGAGACAGGCTGGTCGACCCTCAGGGCCCCATGGATAGTCAGCCAACATACTTGGGGAGGTCCTGACCAATAGGAGATGCTGTCTCCAAATACAATGCAGGTGACAGCTGATGCTGTCCTCCGCAGCCCACACATGCATGCACACGTGAAAACACGTGGACAATCGTATGCTTAGGAGCACACACCCACTTGTACGCAGAAAAGGTTCAGAGCGGCGAATGTCATGGTGGGTTAAATGCCAGGTGTCATGTGAACACGCTGCCGAGAGCCTGCCCCCTCCAGCACAAAGGGCTGGACCCTGACGTTGCAATCTTAATCAGATTGTCTAGACGAGGGCGCAGGGTCCCGACTGGGAGTAAGACATGGCTATTCGGAGGAATTTAGCTGGCTGCCACTTTTGTCACCAGTCATTAACGGAGTGTGGTGACAGTTTGCTTGTACAAACAGAGCTTGTCCGAACGTCAGAGGATGAAGCCTGCCGCTAGCTAACCATAGAGGTCAGAAAGTTTGTACAGACAGGAAGTGAGGTGGCTGGGCTGAAACAGGAAGTGAGATGGATAGGCAGCAACAGGAAGGGAGATGGCTGGGCAGAGAGAGGATATAAGCAGGAAGAAACAGGGACTCGCTCTCTTTTCCACTGGGAAGCTAACGAGGCCAAGGTGGCTTTGGCTTGCTCCTTCTTCTCTCTGATCTCGCAGCATTTCCCTTTTGTTTTTTTTTTGTTTTTTTTTGTTATTAGACCAGTAAAGAACTCCACTGACATCAGCATTTTCCTTTTGTTTTTCGTTATTAGACCAGTAAAGAACTCCACTGACACCAGAGGCTGGTCAGTCTCCAAGGATGGACTGTGCACACAGAGGCATACAACCTGCTTGCCCATCACCTGTTCCTGCGGTTGCTTTCAGCCCGATCTGAACTACTGTCTGGAGAATCACCTGCCACCGCCCCTCCTCCTGGAACTCAGGCAGACACAGACAGATGGCCGGCCCTTAAAGGCCAACATTCAGCAAGCGTGCGCTGGTGTGCCTGTGCCATTTATTAAAACACGGGAAATACTGTTCTAGACTGAAAACAGCCACTTTCCCAAGCCTGCTGTTGTCAGCTCCCCTGGACATTTCCCTGTCTACTCCTACACCCCAAGTCCACGGAGCAGGGCAAGGATCTCAGCTGTTAAGCCATTAAACTCAAGCCCTGATAGCGAGCTTCCTTGCATTCCTATTGGCTGATGTCCAGCAGGGAGGTACTTAAGGTAAACTGATAAGAATGTCACATCTGATAATAAACATCTTTGTGACAGAGCCATTGTGCATGGCTGTTCCCTGTACTAGAGGCGGCAACAGGGGGACAGTGTTGGACGTCATACGGATAGTGCGAAGGGAAAGGGGTAGCCCAAAGGGGGAGAGTAGGAAGGTGTGGGGGGGGGGAGATGGAAGGGATATCGGAAGACAAGAAAGTAGGGGGAACCTTTCAACAGTGCGTTCATGCTGAGCCACAGGAGAAAAAGGCATTCTTCCTGGGTTTCTTTGGATCGTTTGGTGGCTTGGGAATGACCTATCGATCCAATGGAAGTAGAAGGAACCTGCATTTTGTACAGAAAATCCAGGCTGGGCAGGTGCAGGGCAGGGGGCTCGCACCCATAGCCCAGGGTTGGGGTACTGGTTACAGAAGCAGCATAGTAGTTACAGGGGGGGGGGTTAATGGTGTCTCCGTCCCTTTATTCATCCTACAAATGGTTTGGGAGCCTCTGCTTTCATACCAGAAGCTGGGCTGGAACCGCACATGGGGCACAACACTGCGGCCTTGCCCTTGACAAAAATAGCAAGGAGTTATGTAATACGGAGCCTATCACGTAGCAGGCAGTTTTTAAGCACTTCTCCAAGATCATTCCTATCTAATCTTTGCGACAAGCTCTTAAAAGAGGCGCTGCTAACAGCCCTGTTTTATGGGGTGGGACAGAGGCACGCGGAGGGAGAAGCAGCAGGGTGCCAAGGCCAGGCGGCAGCTCACATGCTGCAGACCCGGGCTCCCATCCAGGCAGCCGGGCCTAAGGTCCATGCTGTCGCCCTCTGCAGAATCCCTCTCCGCAGAGCCGTTTGTTTTTAACAGACTCACAAGGGAGCATTCCCGTCACCACGCCTCACAAAGCAGTCTTCACACACAGTGGTATCTTACTGCAGCTTCACAGCACCCCTTGTAATCTGTTACCCCAATTTAAGGGTGAAGAAGGATGGGATTTTGAGACAGACTCGCGGGCTCTTTCCAAGGGCACGCTAAAGTCAAACAAGGATGCGTTTTGGCTGGCCATTACTACGATGAGCCCCTTCACCGTCGCCCCCTTCACCGCCTCCCGGGGACAGGGGAAGAAACTCCCAGAGTGACAGATTTTTTGGCTCAGCATATGAAAGACTAGTTTAAACATAGGAGAGGACCTGGTGCGATTACCAACTCCCGCGTGGGCGTGAGGCCGGGTAATCTGTGTTCTGTGCTGAGCTGTATCTCCATGAGAAAGATCTGCTGAAGTCCTAACACTCTTCACCTCTGAAAGTGAAAGGGACCTGGCCTGGGGACAGGGTCTTCTTCAGATGTGACTAAGTGAACGTGAAGCCCTTGAGCCTCATCCAGGGTGACCAGCGCTCTAGGTTTGTCTTTTCCTAACCGAGATTGTTTGCAGTGTTGAGGAGTGTGCCTGCACACACACACACCAGGCAAGTCCAGTTACAAACACACACACACACACACACACACACACACACAGAGAGAGAGAGAGAGAGAGAGAGAGAGAGAGAGAGAGAGAGAGAGAGAGAGAGCCTTTACTTGGCTTTTATAAAAGAAAAACATGTGAGACAAGAGCTCATCAAGCTGTCTGACTTTGAATTTTTGATCCTCCTGCCTCTGCTTCCACAGTAGCTGGGAGTACAGCCCACACGCCATCAGGTCCAGCTCCTTGTCGAATGGAAAAGTCTGTACAGAGCAATCTCGATGAGGAAGGAGATGGCCGCTCTGTGCCAAGGGACACCCGAGGTCACCAGACAAGTGAGAGGGGCAGGAAAGTGGCCTTCCTGGGGGCTTTAGAGGGAGCCTGGCTTTGCTGACCCCTGACTCTGGACGTCCAGGGTGACGCCAACATGGATTTCCATTGCTGTAAACCATCCTGTGTTTCTGTGTTCCGGAAACCAGGAGAATCTAACAGCCTCTAAGAAATGTATATTTTTTTCCTAGGAATGAAGGTTACAGTGTCACACTACAGTGTCTGGCTCTATAGACAGACTGAGTTCCTTAACGTGGGCAGCAAGGCCACCTTGCTCGCTTAGAAATAAATGGCCACTGTTGGTAAATCTTTGGCAAGTACACACGATTTTTCTACCAACTGAGAACTAGTCAGCCTAAATGCTACCGATTTTTATATGGAAACTCTAAAAAGGGAGACTTATTTTAGTAACAAACAAACAAAAAAATGTTCCGCAAGGGGCTTATTAGTAGTTCGGGATGGCCTCCTGAATTACTACTCTGAAGATCTGTTTTCCAAGAGAAGTGTTGGGAGAATTTTTAGGGAGTGACTTGATAGGAAAAAAAAGATTCTTGATATTAAAACTGCACGAGGGGAGGAAAGCACTCCCGTGGGAAAGAAGGAAGAGGGGGGGTGTAGACACGGTACACAGGTAGCCAGGCATGGTACGGTCCCATCCATGAAGGGAGGCCACCTGAGGGCAGACTGGAGCACAAGGCAGCGGCAGGGAGAGTGAGGGGAAGACTCCCTGCCGTTTAACACACCACCCAGTGTTGCAGTCACCTCGTCATTATCCCAACCTCAGGTAGGTCCAAGTCCACGGTGCGGCACGATTCAGATCCAGAAATGACCCTGGGTCTCTGTCCTGGCTGATACTGCCTTGGTACCCCAGTGTTGGAAACCTTCTTCTCAGCATTCTGCATCCTACCCGCAGTGTTTACATACTGGATAGCAGAGATCTCCCGTCTGAGTATTCCACGGGGCTCCTCTTGGTTTTGGTGTCAGGTGTGGTCAACTTGCCTGCCACGGAAAGCCCTGACCACACGCTGCGTTTTCCTTCCCAAGCCTGCGTAGGCTGCTCTTGCTGCAAGCCCCCATCCTCTGGAGACACCTGTGACTGTTCCCCAGACTTCCTGGCTTTTCAGTATTTCTCTGAGATGGACCTGGGCAATGGCGTTCAGCGCCAGCATCTGAAACAGCACCTCTGGTCCAGCACAGAACTAACTCCCCCAACGGAAGGCAAACGCTGAGCAACGTACCACTTCCTTTCCCTCATGGATGTCTGAGAAAAGTGCTGGGCTAGGCTTTCTTAGCAAATGCTGAATGTGACTCGTCCGTTGCTACCAGTTGGATATTTGATCCAGAACAGCCCGGAAGTTGCCCGTCAAACTGATTTATTAGTAAGCCTAACTAATCCATTGTTGAAGAGTATACTATTTTTGAAAAAGAGCATCATGCATGCATATATACCCATACATATGCATATGGCAGTAATACTTGGTAACTGACTGGACATACACCAGTTTTCCTATTAATTATTAAACGATTCTCTTCAGTTGCATGCTGGATACTGTGCTAAATGTTTCGCTTAGTACTTAGAGACGGAGACACCTCCATGTCATAGCTGGCAGGACAAGGGTCCTGCATTGACTATCATAGCAAGAGACAGAGCCAAGATGTGAACAGAATGACCCCCGACCTCCCGCTCTCAGTTACCAGCTCCTCACATGTTCATAAAATTATTAAAAATCACCCGGATTGAAACCTCTCAGCATGCTAAGCGCAGCGCTAAGCGTCTTGCAGAAGTGATCTCATTAAGGTTTGCAATTAGCCGGGGTGGTGGGGCTTATTTTTTTATTTTCACTTTCAAGTGCGGGAGCCAAGATGCATGGAGGTTAACTTGCCCAGGGACACACACCGTAAGGGGAGGGTCCCAGCTCTGATCCCTCTCAGCCTCTCCAGCGCAGCTGCCCTGAATACGTATCACTGGCTCCTGCCGTGTGTCTGGAACCATGCTAGGACCAAGGGCAGACAAGGATGACAAGTGAGATGCTCCCATCCATGAGGAACCCTAGAATACACAGACCTGCAATCTACAGACATGGGGGCAGAAAAGAAAGACACTGTAGTGATTAGTTATATGTGAGTCTAATGTTAGCCAGAAGGGTCAACGCAATGTTTCATAAATCATGCATCTTTACAAATTCAATTAAAGTGATGGAGTACATTTTACAAATCTGGTTGGATTTTAATTCATCAAACCAATCACCAGAGAGACCCTGACAGGCTGCTCTGGTTTCTTCGTTCCCACTGGGGCTGAAGGTACACTGTTAGGGCAAAACTGAGGTCCTAGATTTCAGGCATGTAGTTGGAGAATCACCTAAGAACTGTGGCCACACTCTTAGACGTCTATCAAGGATTTGTTTCCTAATGTCTATGAACGCAGGGCAATGGCCTCCTCTCCTTTCCTCTGTTTTGAAGTGTCTACCAAAGCCCACCTCAGCTGCCCTCCCTCCATTTGACTCCCACTCACTCCCCAGGGTTCTTGGGAAAACAAGTTGTCCCTCTGTGGACTTGTCAGGCAATCTGCACGTCGGATGGCACCTGGCCTCCGATGCCCACTGTTGAGGCTGGTGGTAACCTCATCAGCATCAACGCCAGATGCCATCTGAGATATAGTCTCTACGCTCCTCAAGAAGACGCCCGCTCAACGCTCCGTGAAGAGCCAACGGCACAGAGTGTAAGGCCTCGAGGAGAGCAAGTCCTGAGTTTCTGAACAGAGGAGTTTTCAGAGGATGGATTTCCCAAGGCAAGAGCCCTACAAACCTGGGCGATGAAACCTATGGGTGAACAAACAGAGTTTGAGCAGGTCCTGGCCTACTTCAGAGCCTACTTACGTTGTGAACGTAGGAGCGTCTGCCCTCCATCAAACCAAAGACACTACTGCCAAAGTCTTTTAAAAAATAGATTCAATGTATCCCCTAAAGCAAAACTGACAGCAAGGACAGAGATCCCCACTTTATCAATAACGCAACCTTCTTCGCATCAATGCAGATGGTTTTAGAGAGGAACACAGGCTTTACTGTAATAAAGGCTTCCTATATGTCCCACGTTGTACATACATAGGTTGACTCTGCTTCTTACAACGACCTCGGGGTCCCATCTGCTCACCTCTGTCCTGCACCTGGAGTGAGCTAAGGCTGGGAAGGAACTGGCCTAAGATAGTTTGTCAGTGGTCCCAGGGTCATGGGTGACAGTAGAGTCCCCCAGCCCTGCCTCCACCTTCCTCCG